GTGTGTCTTGTTTTTTTTCCCGCTCAATCAACCTTTTTCTTCCGCCCATTCCCTCTACTTTCTCAGAGAGATAAACTACGATCCAACCTGGAAGTCTCTCCCGGCCGCTAGTTCTGCAAATCGCCTCTCATCATCTCCTTTTTCGAAACCCAACACCCCGCTCCACGTCCTGGGCAGCCCGCCTGCTTTGCTTGCTTTCCAGCCCTGTCAACAAGGATCGGCCAGGCGCTAGCATTGTGAGGTTTCCTGCTACGCACCATTGGAGGAGCATGTTCAAATTGGTCAACCGTTCCAGATCTATGAAGAGCATGAGGACTGGTGGAGTGGCCCCCGGTGGTGCGCAGACGCACGGCCCAGAGTCCCCCGTCCTGGGGGAGCCGGGTCTTGTGTCAAGTTTCCAACTGGCCAAGGAAGACTCGAGCCTCTCTCAAAACGAGAGCGTGCCCTCCTTCTCCTCAGAGGGTGCTGCCGCCGACGCCGCCGCCGCCGTCGTCGAAGCTCGTAACACGTACCGCCATCGCCCGCTGCCTACACCTCCTCGCTCCAAGGCATCATCAACAATGGCCGAGCGGCCGAGCACCAGCGGAGGGCTCTCCCCTCATAACAACAGCACCGCCAGCTTCAGGTCTTTTGCCGACAGGCGGATTTCCAAGGATGACATGTACATCAGGCCTCAGTCGTCGGCGCGCGGAGGCTTCAAATCGTACCACATCCCGATACGGGACAACCCAGCATCCCCGGTAGAGAGTCCCGGCGACTTTTCACCGGCTCGGACATTCACCGTCAGGACGCAGACGCCAGACTCGATGGACAGCAACATGGGAACGATTGCGATTGGCATGGCAATAGGAAGCCCAACTCACATCCCGCCCGAGTTCTCGTCGCCGCCGCCACCACCCGCACAGCCGAGAAACGACTGGCAACCGCAGGCGTCGAGCATGAGCACCAGCATGATGAGAGCCTCACCAGAGCCTCTACCCTCGCCGATGGAGACCGCGGAACCCGTACCGGCGCCGAAACAGAAGTCGGGGCGATGGAAGTTATTTGGACGCTCAAAGAGCAAGAGGCTCGCCTCATCACCCGTCGCCATCTCACAACCAATGAACCTCCAGCAACCAATGGCCAGCACCCGGGAGTTTGAGAGCCTACCGCCGAGCAACCAGGCGACTGATCTGGGAAGACGAAACACCGAGAGGAGACCGGGGGACAGCAAACCGGCCATGGTCCGCTCACAAACCGCGGGGCCGATGGCCGCGCCGCCCAGCCCGAAGGAGCAGAAGCCGCCAAAGCTGCTCAGCAGGATGGCATCAACACGGTCGACCCGTGACAAGGTGAAGAAGTCGGACATTTCGGCGCCGGTGCACGTATCGATGCATGTGCCCGCGCTCCCGACGAAGCCCGCAGGAAACTTTTTGGACGTGGAGATCCCGAGCATCAACATGGAGCGGTATAGCGTCATGTTTGGCGGCATCCTGCAGCCGCAAGGACCGCCGGGACAGCAGGCGCAGCAACAGCAGCAACAACAGGGGGCGTCTGCGTTGTTGGCGAGGCGGCAGGCCACGCTGGACAGGCTCAAGACGATTAACGACCAGGTCATGAAGGAGGAGGAGGAGAAGGAGCGGATGAGGGGCAGGAGCGCGACGTCGCCGCAACCTCTCAAGTCGCCAGCCTTTTCGCTGTCGTTGTTCCCGGCGACGCCCTCGGAATCGGCCAACAACCCGCCCGCGTCGCCCCGCCACCGCTCGCACACGTCGCCGTTCCCGTCCCCGTCGAGGTCCAGCTTCGACCCTCCGCGACCCCGCTACTACCTCGAGGCCGTGAAGGCGGAGGCCTCGGGACGAGCCAGGACCGCGACCCCCGACTCGATGAGGGCGCCCCAGGACGTGCCGATCGGTTACGCCTTCGGGCCCGAGCAGTCCGGTCTCCTCCTCGACTCTCCCACCGACGATCGGGAGTCGGAGGAGATTCACCTGACGGAGCAGCTGAAGCCGACCATTTACGAGCCCGCGTGGCAGATGATTACGCCGTCCGACTCCACGGCGCCCTCGAGCGCGGCCCCGAGCGCCAAGGACCGATCGCCCGCATCCGTCTCGTCGGCCCACACGCATGTCACAAAGCCGTCCCTTGACGAGTCGGAGCCCGACGACGCGCTGAAGGCTGCCGTCGAGATCTCCATTGCCCGCCAGATCAGCATCTCAAGGTCGCAGCGCCGGATGCTCCGGCCGCTCAAGACGCCGGCCCTTCCCTCCGGAAGCCCCAGCATGAGGAGCCCCGTGAGCGTGAACACGGTCACTATTGGCAGAAACGAGCGCCTCTCGTCGACAAAGAGCTCGACGCCGACGCTCATCAGCCCCGGGGAGACGTTTGAGCAGCAGATTGCGCAGAACCGCAAGAGCGAGCGCATCATTGTCGAGGGAGAATGATCGCCTTCGCCACTATTATGTCCCTTTATGCGACAACACTATCACGACCTTCCCACTTCACGGACACTTCTTTTCACGATTCCCTTCGTCCACTCGTTCGATGCCCAGGCCGTCATGTTCAAAATCACCCCTTTTGACTATTACATTCTCGAAGCCCTATTACTCTGGAGGACCACTTTTTTTGCGTCGAGACGATTATGCTTGGAGAGCTGGGCTGCTTTTTCTTGTTTCATTTGTTTGATTTGAGCGGTGTGTGTGTGGGTTCAACCAAAAGAAAAAACGGTCTGCAAGCGACTTTGACAACCACTTTGAGAGGACACTGGGGGGCGTATTGTTTGTTGTTCCATTTTCTCTAATACAACCTCGAGGGTTGTCGCATCGATACCACTGTTCAAGGGGTTTACCTCTAGAGGCGCGGCGCGTACATTGGACGGGCAGTCTGATTTGTTCATTTTTATCCAGTATTGAATCATCCATGATCGACGGAAGCTTTTTGGGTAGATAATCCTAAAGCTTAAAACCTACACAAACAAATTCTGATGAGTTTGGATGTGCCGCCGCGTGACTAAGCGCCAATGTGAAGTATGTCACTGCCAAGGGATGTCTCAGGGGTGTTCACACAATGTTGTATTATTCCTGAACTATCCTGCACAAGTTGCGGAAATATGAACACGGGCCTTCATTCCACAAGACTGATGAGGCATTCGAAAGGCCCGACTCTGCAAGATGTTTCTGTCATTGCAATCCTAGCGAGCGTGACCGGAGCGAGTGTTTATGCTGAAACGAGTCCAAACGTCCAACGCCAGACGTGAAATGACCAAGGAGGATGAGGATAAGGGGGTTACGAGAAGACCAGCTTTACATGACGACGCAGCACGAGTTTTGCTTCTTTGCCTGTTCTTTGGGTGTGTTAGTCTAAGCCCTCCTGTGAATTCACCGGCAGACCCACGGTAAAACATCTTGCTCTGGGAGCTCAGGCCGTCACTCTTGGCGACCAGGTCGTCAATTTTCTCGCCGCGCTCCAGCACGCTCTGGATGGTCTTGTGCAGGACAATCTTGGTCTCGTCGAGCTCCTTTTGGATCTTAAGAATGGAGTCGGCCTGCTGGGGGTCTTGGTACTTGGTGAGGTACTCCTTGAGTTCGGGGAGGGCGAGCTTGGGCTCGCCGGTGGCCCACGTGGAGCGCGGGTGCTTGGTGAGGAACTCGTCGACGATCTTGGAGAGAAGCTGGTGGGCTACTAGACTGGGGTATTGGTGGTCGGAAATGATGCTACGCCGTATGGTCAGCCGCCGCACTTTACACAGGACAAAACGTCTTACACGCCGCAGATGCCTTCGCTCCTTCCCACGCAGTGGAACGTGTTGTCGCCCTCCTCGATATCCTGTCTCTGGCCGGGACGGGTAGACTCGGCAACCTTCTTGGAGAAGAGGGTCATGAACTCGGCATAGCTGTCTGCGGCGCAATCCTGTCAGCGCTGGTGCCTGTCTGCGAGGCTGCTGCCCATGTCCGTGGTGCTGTCGCAAACGTACTTCTTGTGAATCGCGAGTATGCCGACAGCTCCATCTCACTGCACAGCTCGACAGCCGGCTTGCTGTCGTTGCGGAGGATCTACACGGGGGCGCATGGCGTCAGCGGGTTGTGCCGGAGAGCAGTGCGCGTGGACGGTCGACGTACGCCAATGTAGTGAAGCTTCATTTTCTGGTCGATTTGCTCTGTCAGTTTATCGTCATCGTCGTGGTGCCTGTGGCGGTCTAGGCCGGGAGGGGAGGTCCGACTGGACTTACGGCGGTATTTCAGGGGCGGGGGAACAAGTCGGTGTCGTGTGGGCGATGCGCTGTGCGGTGTTGTGTGTCAACGCGATTCGAGGTCGTCGGGTGAGGCAAAGGGCGGTATCGCGGGGGCAAATGTCAGGAGTTGGCGGAATTGATATGAGAAATGGAGAAAGGGGATTGTCCAAGTTGGAGGAAGATGGAGAACGTCTCCGCGACGTCAAGGTTTATGGTGGGATTGGCCGCACGGCAGGCCGCTGTCTTGGGCGGGCGATACATCACATGCCCACTAAAGTAGGGGAACTTGGCCTGGCTCTGCCCCTCCAGGCTGCAGAGCAATTAAGGTGGTGCGGCACCCGACCTGGCGTGCTGGCGTGGATGGGTGCCCTTTGAGTTCGCTACAGGGGGTCGACGTCTGGATTTACGGCATGATGGCGTACCTTGCCTCATCAGGTCCAGCATGTCAATGGCTGGGCGAGCTTATGCATAAAGGACAACCTATGGTCGTCGGAGGCTCGGATGGCCCTCACCTCCGTCCACATCAGTGGAGGGTGGCGGTCAGCGCTGCATCCGTACAGTGTCTCGAGTGCCTGGCGGGGGACGGCCAGAACCCCACCAACAGACGGACGTCACTGGCTGAACGACACCACTGCTGCAGAGACGACACTGCAGGCTGGTTCGCCCCACTTTGCTCGGTGAATGACTCCTCTATCAGCGTTTAGTGCAGTGCCATGAAGATGATATCTCATCGTCGTCGACGGATACTCGAGTCCATCACCACTCATATCTCATACAACACTCACTCACAATGGCACCCGCAGACCTCGACACCGCCGAAGCCCAATGGCGGGCTCAATTCGAAGCCATGAAGACGGCCCTGGCCGGTCTGAAGCTGCCGTCCGCGCCACCATCTGAAGTGGACTTTGACGACGACTACGAGGGGTACTCCTCAGGAAACGGCGCACAGGACGTGTGGGATTTTATCGAAGACGACGACGAAGACGACTACAGCAGTGACCAGCTCGACGGCCCGGACGCACTCAACGGAGACGGCGCGTACGGCGCTGCCTGGTTTGCGAGCAAGTGCTCTGGCATTGCTGCGAAGAATGGCCTGGCCGAGGATGTGTTCCAGAGCCAGGTCATGAGCGTGCTGACCTCGGGCCGTGGCGACGAGGAGCTGCAGTCGCAGCTGGCTGACCTCATCGGCTTTGATGACTTTGACTTCATCATTGAGCTGCTCGGTCACCGCGACGAGATTGTGACCGCCGTCAAGTCACAGGGGGACCAGGAGGCGACTGGGCGACTGTTGACCAAATCCCAGCGCGAGGAGGCGCTGAGACGCCAGGACTACGAGCACAAGAATGCGGCCCTCGCTCCGGCCATGACCAAGGAGATTCAGTACCCCCACGTCTACAAGGCGTACAATGCCGGGAACTCTCTCAGCCACTCTGGCAAGAAGTACGCGCTCCCCACGGGGAGTGAGAGGCTGCAGTTCGAAAAGTACGAAGAGTACGCCATTCCTGCGGGAAAGAAGGGCGTCCTGGGCCCCGGCCAGAAGCTGGTCAAGATATCCGACATGGATGGCCTCTGCCGCGGGACCTTCAAGGGGTACAAGACGCTCAACCGCATGCAGAGTCTGGTGCATCCGGTGGCATACAGGACGAACGAGAACATGCTCATCTGCGCGCCCACTGGTGCTGTAAGTTGTCATCCCCTCAAGCTGTGGTGATACTGACGGGTGCAGGGCAAAACGGACGCCGCCATGCTCACCATCCTGCAAACCATCGGCCACTACTGCACGCCCAATCCCATCGAGGACCCGGCCACCACAGACTTTGCAGTCGACGCGCAAGACTTCAAGATCGTCTACGTCGCCCCGATGAAGGCGCTCGCGGCGGAAGTCACCGAGAAGCTCGGCAAGCGACTGGCCTGGCTTGGCATCAAGTGCCGCGAGTTCACCGGAGACATGCACCTGACCAAGGCCGAGATCGTCCAGACGCAAATCATCGTCACGACCCCTGAGAAATGGGACGTCGTCACGAGAAAGGGCACCGGCGACACCGAGCTGGTGCAAAAGGTCCGCCTCCTCATCATCGATGAGGTTCACATGCTTCACGACGAACGCGGTGCTGTGCTGGAGTCGCTCGTTGCCAGAACGGAGCGCCAGGTGGAAAGCACCCAGTCGCTGATCCGCATCGTCGGTCTGAGTGCCACGCTCCCCAACTACATTGATGTGGCCGACTTCCTCAAGGTCAACCGGTACCAGGGTCTCTTTTACTTTGACGCCTCCTTCCGCCCCGTGCCGCTGGAGCAGCACTTCATCGGCGTCAAGGGCAAGGCCGGCTCGAAGCAGTCCAAGGAGAACCTGGACCAGGTCGCCTTCGAAAAGGTCAGAGACATGCTCCAGCGGGACCACCAGGTCATGGTGTTTGTGCACTCGCGGAGAGACACCATGGTCACGGCCAAGATGCTGTACGAGAAGGCCGTGGAAGACTTTTGCATCGATCTCCTCGACCCGACCATGCATCCCGGGTACGAGAACGCGGTGCGCGATATGAAGTCGTCCAAGGCGCGGGACCTGCGCGAGCTGATCCCAAAAGGTCTCGGCGTGCACCACGCCGGCATGGCCCGTTCCGACAGAAACCTGATGGAGCGGCTCTTTGCTGAAGGAGTCCTCAAAGTGCTCTGCTGTACGGCGACGCTCGCGTGGGGTGTCAACTTGCCCGCCGCGGCCGTCGTCATCAAGGGCACCCAGGTCTACAGCGCCCAGGACGGCAAGTTTGTCGACCTCGGCATCCTCGACGTGTTGCAAATCTTTGGTCGTGCCGGTCGTCCGCAGTTCGAGGACACCGGTATTGGCATGATTTGCACGACACAGGACAGGCTCCACCACTACCTGACCACCGTCACGGAGCAGCAGCCGATCGAGTCCAAGTTCTCGACGAAGCTGGTCGACAACCTCAACGCCGAGATCGCGCTGGGCACGGTGACGTCCATCCCCGAGGCCGTCCAGTGGATCGGCTACTCGTACCTGTTCGTCCGCATGCAACGGAGCCCCATGAGCTACGGCATCGAGTGGGCTGAGATCAGGGACGACCCGACGCTCGTCCAGAGGCGCCGCACGCTAGCGATCCAGGCGGCCCGCACGCTCCAGCAGAGCCAGATGATCATCTTCAACGAGGTGACCGAGGAGCTCCGCAGCAAGGACATTGGCCGCATTGCAAGCCAGTATTACATCCTGCACACCAGCATCCAGATCTTCAACACCATGATGCAGCCGCAAGCCACCGAGGCCGACATCCTCAAAATGATTAGCATGAGCGGAGAGTTTGACAATATCCAGTCGAGAGACTCGGAGGAAAAAGAGCTTACCAAGATGAAGTATGACGTGGTGCCCTGCGAGGTCGACAGCGGCATCGACACGCCCCAGGCCAAGACGAACATTCTGCTTCAGGCGTACATTTGCAGAGCCCAGCCGGAGGACTTTGCGCTGGGCAACGACCTGAACTACGTGGCCCAGCAGGCCGGCCGCATCTGCAGAGCCTTGTTCATGATTGCCCTGAATAGGAGATGGGGCCACCAGTGCTTGGTCCTGCTCACGCTGGCCAAGTCGATCGAGAAGCGCATCTGGGCGTTCCAGCACCCCCTGCACCAGTTTGACTTTCCCAAGTCGGTGCTCAACCAGCTCGACGCCAAGGACAACCTGTCGATCGAGGCCATGAGGGACATGGAGCCCGCAGAGATTGGCAGCCTCGTCCACAACCAGAGCGCCGGCAAGAAGATTGCCCACATTCTCAACAACTTCCCCACGGTCAGCGTCGAGGCTGAGATCGCCCCTCTTAACCGCGACGTCCTCCGCATCAAGCTGTTCATCTACCCAGACTTCAAGTGGAACGACCACGTCCACGGCACGTCCGAGTCGTACTACATCTGGGTCGAAAACTCGGAGACGTCCGAGATTTACCACCACGAGTTCTTCATCCTCAACAGGAGAAAGATTCACGACGACCACGAGCTCAACTTCACCATTCCCCTCTCCGACCCCCTGCCGAACCAAATCTACGTGCGGGCGGTCTCTGACCGGTGGCTCGGCGCCGAGACGGTCACGCCCGTCTCCTTCCAGCACCTCATCCGCCCCGACACGGAGAGCGTCTACACCGACCTCCTGAACCTGCAGCCGCTGCCCATCAGCGCCCTGAAGAACCCGGCCCTCGAGGAGATTTACGCCCAGCGCTTCCAGTTCTTCAACCCCATGCAGACGCAAATCTTCCACACCCTCTACCACACGCCTGCAAACGTCCTCCTCGGCTCGCCCACGGGCAGCGGCAAGACGGTCGCGGCTGAGCTCGCCATGTGGTGGGCGTTCAAGGAGCGCCCCGGGTCAAAGGTCGTCTACATCGCCCCCATGAAGGCCCTCGTCCGCGAGCGTGTCAAGGATTGGGGCGCCCGGCTTGCGCGGCCCCTCGGCCTCAAGCTGGTTGAGCTGACGGGTGACAACACGCCCGACACGCGCACGATCAAGGACGCCGACGTAATCATCACCACCCCTGAGAAGTGGGACGGTATCTCCCGTAGCTGGCAGACGAGAGGCTACGTCCGCCAGGTCAGCCTGGTCATCATTGATGAGATCCACCTGCTCGCCGGCGACCGCGGCCCGATTCTGGAAATCATCGTCTCGCGCATGAACTACATTGCGGCGTCCATCAAGAACTCGGTCCGCCTGCTCGGCATGTCGACGGCCTGCGCGAACGCGACGGACCTGGGCAACTGGCTCGGCGTCAAGGAGGGCCTTTTCAACTTCCGACACTCGGTCCGCCCCGTCCCGCTGGAGCTCTACATTGACGGCTTCCCCGAGACCAGGGGGTTCTGTCCGTTGATGCAGTCAATGAACCGCCCGACGTTCCTCGCGGTCAAGACGCACAGCCCCGACAAGCCCGTCATCGTGTTCGTCCCGTCTCGAAGGCAGACCCGCCTGACGGCCAAGGACCTCATCAACTATTGCGGCATGGAGGACAACCCGCGACGGTTCCTCCACATGGACGAGGACGACCTGCAGCTCAACCTCGCCCGCGTCAAGGACGACGCCCTCAAGGAAGCCATCAGCTTCGGCATCGGCCTGCACCACGCCGGTCTCGTCGAGTCTGACCGCCAGCTCGCCGAGGAGCTCTTTCTCAACAACAAGATCCAGATCCTGGTCGCGACCAGTACCCTCGCCTGGGGCGTTAACTTGCCCGCTCACCTCGTCGTCGTCAAGGGCACGCAGTTTTATGACGCCAAGATCGAGGGCTACAAGGACATGGATCTGACAGATGTCCTCCAGATGCTGGGCCGCGCCGGCCGCCCGCAGTTCGACAACTCGGGCGTGGCGCGCATCTTTACACAAGACGCCAAAAAGGACTTTTACAAGCACTTTTTGCACACCGGCTTCCCCGTGGAATCCTCCCTCCACACCGTCCTCGACAATCATTTGTGCGCCGAAGTCTCGGCCGAGACTGTCGTCACGAAGCAGGACGCCCTGGACTACCTCACGTGGACGTTCTTCTTCCGCCGCCTGCACAAGAACCCCTCGTACTACGGCCTCGAGATCTCCGCTGAGGAGCACAACAGCATCGCCGCGCAGACGATGGCCAACGACTACATGATTGAGATGATTGACAAGTCCCTGGGTGAGCTGGCAAAGTCCAGCTGCGTCGAGGTGTTCCCCAACGGCGATGTCGACCCCACGCCCTTTGGCAAGATTATGAGTTACTACTACCTCTCTCACAAGACCATCCGCCACCTCGTCAAGCACGCCAAGGCCCAGGCGTCTTTTCTCGATGTTCTGTCGTGGATGTCGCGCGCAACCGAGTACGACGAGCTCCCGGTCCGCCACAACGAAGACCTCATCAACGACGAGCTGTCCCGCAACCTGACTTATTCTGGCAACTCCTTTGGCCTGCCCATGTGGGACCCCCATGTGAAGGCCTTTCTCCTGCTCCAGGCGCACATGTCGCGCATCTCCCTGCCCATCACGGATTACGTCGGTGACCAGACCAGCGTGCTTGACCAGGCCATCCGTATTATCCAGGCCTCCATCGACGTCCTCACGGAGCTGGGCCACCTTTCCAGTTGCCTCGAGTTCATCAAGCTCCTGCAGTGCATCAAGTCGGCTCGCTGGCCCACCGACCACCCGGCCTCCATTCTTCCCGGCGTGGGCGTGGACACGCTCAAGAACGACACGTCGGACCTCACCCTCGCCAAGATTGGCGCTCTGGGATCCCCGGGCAAAGTTACGCAGCTGGCGAAGAAGCTCTCCGTCGCGCCGCACCAGCAGCCTCGCTTCGCAAAGGCCGTCGCACAGCTCCCGAACCTCGCCGTGTCGGTCCCGGAGACGACCGCGCTGTCGGTGTCCGTCGACCTCCGCCGCCTGAACCCCCTGACGGAGCGCGACGCCCACGTCTACGCACCGCGCTTCCCGAAGCCGCAAAATGAAGGCTGGTTTGTCGTCCTGGCCGACACGGCCCGGGACGAGGTCATCGCCGTCAAGCGCGCGGGCTGGTCTCAGGGCGCCGGCAGAAGCGTCGCCGTCGGCTCCAAGCCCACGGCCCGCGCCAACTTCAAGGTGCCCGAAGCCGCTCAGGGCAGGAAGCTCGATGTGCTCGTCGTCAGCGATGCTTATGTAGGGCTAGAGTACAGGATTGGCGGGATCGACATCCCGACGGCGCCCGTGGTGGACGACGATGTAGACAAGTCCAAGAAGGCACAGGCACAGCAGAGCGGTGGTGGTGCCTCTCGGGCGTAAGGCCTTGATGACATGATGGTATTAGATGGAGCCAAGCCATGCTATGACGAATGCAGCCCGCGCTCATGATGAAACTATACAGAAGGATAGAAAGGAAACCCCTTTGCCACCAAAACAATGCTTTCTCGCGAGAGATGCTCTCTCTGTAAAACCCAGTACCGTAAAACAGCCATGCAGTGATGCCGCATGCGAAAATCAAACCCTGTGCCGTGATCCCATTTGAAGAAAAGCCCAATAGTCCATACCCAAACGCCTCGCACCATGCTTGATCCAGAAATGTGGTTTGTCGTGTACTGCATGATTATGTCCTCAGCCAGTCCGGATCGTGTCGTTTGTCTCAGAATGCCCAAAAAAACAGTCGTCAAATATCCGTCTCTTCGTACCGTCGTCTCATGTTGCAGAAAGAAAGGCCCAATCTTCCAGAGCCTGACTCAACAACACTTCCTCCGCGCCTTGGCGGCGCCATCATCGGTATTCTGCTCCGTGCCTCCCTGCTCGACGGTGACGGCGGGCGAGAAGCCGGGCGAAAAGAGCCAACTGCGCCGGTCCCGTCCCACGCGGAAGCTGCCGCGCGGGTTCATGCCGTCAAAGTAGCCGCCGTCCATGCCGGACTCATAGCCCGGCGTGCCGGGGGTGGCCGTCGCCATGAGCAGCGCCTGCTGCATCTTGCGGTTCTGCTCGACGAGCTTGCGCGTCACCACGCGGAACACCTCCTCCACGCCCTCGCCGCTCTCGGCGCTGATCTCGTGGCACGCGTCCCACCCGACCTCCTGGCCCCAGAAGCCCGAGCTGCGCTTCGACGAGGGGCTCCGCGGCTCACCGCCGCCGCCGCCGCTGCCGAACTGGCTGTGCACCTGCGACGAGGACGTCCGCGGGTCGGAGGACGACAGCAGCGAGGGCATGCCTGTCGGTGTGGCCGTGGGCGGCGGCGTGGATGCCAGACCCGGGGCGAGGTTCTCGGCGACGTAGGCTATACAGCGCTCGAAGGGCACCTCGCGGCGGGAGGGGTCGCGGGCGACGATGTCTGCCTTTGTGCCGACGACGTGCAGGACAACGTCGCCGGGGAGGTTGCGGCGCAGCTCGGTCAGCCAGATGCCCATCTCGGTGAAGGACTGGGCGTCCGTGATGGAGTAGCAGAGGATGCAGGCGTTGGCGCCGCGGTAGTAGAGGCGCGATATGGAGCGGAAGCGTTCCTGGCCGGCTGGGTTTGTTAGTCGATACGTATAGAACATTGGGGAGAGCAAGACGTACCCGTATCCCAGATCTGCAGGCGCACCATGGTGTCGGTATCGGTGTCGACGACGCGCTTGGTCATGAAGCTCGCGCCGACGGTGGACGTCGTCTGTGCCGGGTTGAAGGAGCCCTTGCAGTACCGCATGACGAGGCTCGTCTTGCCGACATTCTGGGAGCCGAGGACGACGATCTTTGCCTCGAGGGACGACATTCTGAGAGGCAGGGAGAGAGAGGAGGGGAGAAGGGAGAAGCGCGGTCGCGCGCTGGTGATCGGTCGGGATCGGTTCGATTCGGGCAGTCGGCGATGGTGACCGAGAGTGACGAAAAAAGGGGGCCCGGTATGTTGTTGAAGAATTCGCGAGACGAGCTGGACGACGTGTGTGGGTGCTGTGGTTCCTGGATGTGGCTGTCGTGCTAGTCTTGGGCTGGAGGAGTGGTCCGAGTACTCGAGGCACGATGCGATGTTTGGTACGTAGTGGGTGCCGTCGGGTGTGGCTTTCGTTTGCTGTAGTACGAGGGAGGCAGACAGGCACTCTCGAGGCACTTTTTGGATCTAAGGATAGTCACGCCGCGCCAAGTGTGATGTAGGCACCCACGAGGTCACAGATCGGCCGATGCGGCGCGTGGTCTCGGATGCCGGCGGGGGGGAAGGGTATGCGCTGGAATGGCCTTCTACGGCTTGGTCTAGAAAAGGAGACGGAAGCGTGCGATAAGGAAAGTGTGTGGTGAGGCAGGGACGAGGGTGGGCGGGGCTGGTGTTTTTGTTGATGTTTTGTTGTTTTATTTTCCCTCGCCGTACGTAACATGGGGGGATGAGAGTGAGGGATCATTGATCACGGACGGTATGGGGGGGACGGGGGCTAGTCTTGTGAGATGTAATCGGCTTTATTTTGCGGGGCGAACGAACGGCCGGCTCGACGGTTGCAACACACACACACACACACTCTCACACACAGACGCTCTCCGAAAAGGAATACCAGAAAGTCAAGTTTCCAGGGGGAGATTGGAGTTGCGCCGTCGTTCGTTTCTCGTTTCTTTCTGAGACCTGCTCCAGAGGCCTGGGTATGGGATTTAGTGCCCGCCGCGGGGAGGCCGTTGGGATGATGCTGCTTTGCCCGCCGTGCACACCGAGCCTCTCTCAGCTGACGAAGACGGCGACGTGCCATCGGCGGGGGAGGGCTGCATGGATTAGATGAGGGTCGTGTCGTATGCATGAAGAGCAGAATTCGGTAGTGCTTAGAATGCCCGTCTCTGGTGGTGTGATTCGAGAGGCTGCCACTGTTCGTAAACCAAACCTAGGTAGGCCAAAGAAAGGTAAGGCTATCTCACCACCACAGACCTCGGTGAGGGTGACCTCCCCGGAAGGTCTGTGAACGCGGAGGTGGCTCAGCGCCGGCGACCGCTGAAACAAGCGCTGCATTCTGGCGAGACGGCGCCAGGGACGCTAGACGGTCGATGTTCGGCGCATTGTGGGAACAGCAGGTCGCGTGGTGAGCCTGCTCCCCACCGTTCGCTTTCTTCACAATGCAGCATGGCGTCATCGTTCACCTTTCAGCCAGCAGCATCCATTCAACAACGTTCGGAGGACGCTGCTCCCGTCGCAGACTCGACGCGCCCCGGAGCTTTGCTGACCATTGGGACGAACAACGGCCGGGCGGTCGACACGGCGTCTAATGCACGTGCAGACCAGCCCAATCAGTCAACGTCCTCGGCATCTCGTCCGACGACGCCACCGCTGATCCCCCACGCCGGCGACCGCTGGTTTTGTCCAGCAGCCGCCGCCCCTTTGTCGGTGAACCGGTCGTTGGCGCGCCAGGTACAGAAATCTCACAGGTCTCGGTCGACTTCACGTTGGAATGCGCAGTCACGGGTAGATTGGAGGCTCTAAACTTGGGCTGAATCTGGCCCCCACTGGAACGTATCGCCACACATCAACGTTACGGCGCGAGCAACCATATTCTAATCTTAGTCTTCTTTCATTACGTCGTCACAGTACCATCGCATCATTTGGCGCGACCTTATACTATACATTAAGTAGTCTATCGGGGGTATTATCCTTCTGTCGCTTTTGTCTATAGTCTATCCATCCAGTAGTAAATCAACGCTTACAAAACAACGTGGACGGTCTTGGCAACGCTGGGGGTGCCGTTGGCGTTCAAGACGAACAGGTAGTAGTAGCCGGGAAGGAGGATGCCGTAGTCCTCGGGCAGCTTGGCCGAGTACTCGTTGCCGTTGACCTGAAAGTCGAGGGGAATGCGGCGCTGGTCCGTGTTGGACGAGTGCGTGACGCTGCCGGTGCGGATCAGCGCGACCTTGGCCGGGCCCTCGCAGTTCTCGACCGTGAAGGTGATGGTCGCGCCGGCCTTGACGGGGTCGGTGCCGATGGTGGCAATGTTGGGGCGCGCCGCGAGGGTGCCGTCCGCGTTGAAGAGGTAGGGCGGCTGGAAGATCTCGCTGTCGGCGTGGTCGACCGTCTTGTCGCACTTGGCCGTGGAGCCGAGGATGGTCTGCACGTAGCAGAGGCCGCCGCCGCCAGAGAAGACGGTCGCATCGGGCATCAGGATGGAGACGGAGTGGTAGTTGCGGGGGACGGCCATGGGCGCCATCTGCTTCCACTCCTTGGTCTCGGGGTTGAACAGCTCGGCAATGAGGATGCCGTCCGTGTTGGTGAAGACGAGGGACTTGCGCTGGCCGCCGGTGACGAGGACCTGGCCGTCGGGAAGGACGACGGCGTTGGCGAAGCCGCGGGGGAAGGCCATGTCGGCGACACGCTCGACCTCGGCGGGGGTGTTGGGCTCGCCAATGGTGGTGATGTGGGCGTGGTTGTTGGCGACGCTGTCCGTGTAGTCGGGGCTGCCGCCGGCGGAGAGGATCTTGCCGGCGACGGCGTCGTACATGACCCAGACGCCGCACATGGCGTTCTGGTCGTCGCGGGTGGCCGCCTTCATGACGGAGCCGTCGCCGTCGGTGCCGTACCAGTGCTGGTCCTTGCTGGGGCCGGCCTGGTAGACGCTGCCGTTCTTCCAGCCAAAGAGCCACGCGTGGTTGTCCTCACGCCAGATGCCCTCGTGGTCGACGGTGAGCATGGGCTTGACGTCGGCGCCGTTGAGGAGGGTCCACTCGTTGGTCTCGGGGTCGTACATCTCGCCGTTCTTGCCCTCGCGGGGACCCGAGTAGGCGCCGCCAATGGTGAAGATCTTGCCGTTGGACAGCGTGGTCGAGGTCTGGTAGCCGCGGGCAATCTTCATGTCGGGGCCGCGGGTGAAGTTGTTGGTGGCCGGGTCGTAGATGGAGACCGCCTCGGCGTCGGAGCCGCCCTGGACGACGATGCGGCCGTCCTGGAGCTGGCTGATGCCGGGGCAGAACATGTCGTGGTGGGTGTTGGTGACGGTGCGCTGGGAGATCTCGCCGGTGGCGAAGTTGTAGTCGCCGTACTGGGTCATGCCAGAGGCGCCGCCAAAGGCGTCCTTGCCCCAGGAGGAGAAGAAGAGCAGCCTGTCGGGCTGGGGGTAGGCGGGGACGATGTAGGCCGCGACGGGGATGACGGGCAGGCGGATGAGGTCTCCCCACTTGCCCTCGACGGCAGGGTTGTAGGTCTCGGGGACGTGGATGGTGGTGAACTGCTTGTCCTGGACCCAGAAGAGCGAGTTGGCGGGCTCGGCGCCCTTGATGTGGCAGACGTTGTTGATGTTGTCGTGGACGGACTTGGTGCAGTCCTTGGTGTTGGAGCAGAGCTCGGCACAGGCCTGGACGGTGGTGACGTCCTTGACCATCTTGACGCTGGTGCCGGTGTAGTCGGTGTTGAGGCAGACGCGGAACTCCTTGTCGGTGTTGGGGACCTTGTACGACTCCTCGTCAAAGGGGCAGGTGGCGAGGAAGGAACCCTCGGGCAGGTCGTTGGTCATGCGGATGGAGACGAAGCGGCCGTCGGCGGCCCAGTTCATGTTGTTCTTGTTGTCCTTGACGTGGCAGAGCTTGTCCTCTGTGTCGTAGACGGCACGGTAGCAGCGGGCATCCGTATCACAGATCTGGACGCAGTCCTTGGTCGAGGCCACATCCTTGACGACCTGGAGGCTGTTGCCGCCATACTGGTAGTCGGAGCCGGGGCAGACGGTGTACTTGACGCCGACGGGGGTCTCCCAGACGGCCTCCTCGTTGGGGCACTTGGTGATGGCCGCGGAGGACAGTTGTGAAAAGAGTGTGGCGGCAGCGAGTGCCGTGTAAGTGTTTGAGCGAACCATGATGTGTCGAATGAGTGTAGTAGATGTTGAGTGAGTGTATGTGGAGTGAGTGTGATTATCAGATACGTATGAAAGAAGGACCGTATCTGTTATTAGGACAACGCACTGAAAAGACTACTAAAGGAAAAGAACGAAAGGCAACTCTTGGTGATCCGCGAGAGCGACGTTGGAGAGAGAGTCCCAAGTAAACAAGAGGAGGGAGAAACCTGTTCATTTTGTATATACGCTCACTCGATGCCAAGTGCTGCGGTCCTCCCTCCAGGAGACACAGGTCCATCGAGGAGTGGAAACCTGGGAGCCCCCCGCTGGGCTGCGCCATCCCGCAGGTACGGTGTGGCCCGATAGAGTCTGCCAGGGGAACCGACGACATCGTCGAGGCCGAGAGGGCGCTGGCGAATAGGAACCGAACGCGAGCAGGAGGATCTCCATACGAGAAGGGATAAGGTGGAAACAGAGTCCTGGCGCGCTAAGTGTTGGGCGGGCGGAGGTCCAAGCCAAGGTTGCCGTGATGTGGGATCCGAACGTGTGAAGGCACCGCAACCTGTGGAGTGCTTAAACGCCTGCCCGGTCACCTCTGAAGAGACGTCGACGGCCATCGTCCATCGAAGGTTTGGACGCCTTCCCCTTGGCCTTCCCTGCCATGGGGCCCGCAGTTTGCCCCGTTTCCGTCGTTGCTCTGGGGCTCTTGCGGTTGAGTCGCATGACTGATCGCCGGCACGGCCATCGAGCAAGACTCTGTAGGAAAAAATTCGTCTGAACTTCATGCGAGACAAGCTTCGCTGCTGTAAAAGCTGTCAATTAGAGTTCCCGTCCGTTCCCGTCGTCTGATGTACCGGAAGTTCGGCTGACGTAAACCTGCCGCTGTCAGCATCATCCCAATAGCCTCACCGTCGACGTTCACCTCGCGCTGCCATCACCCCTGCTCCGCGAGGGAGTGATTCCTCCCCACGGCCAAGGAATTAAGGTGAACGGAGAAGACCGAGCAATTGCCCGGCGACCACAGGTTGAGGCCATCGTGCACAAAATCCTCTGTCGGATGCAGGACAAACTCTCAATGTCGTACGCAGACCGCCGCACGCCTCCGGACCACTTGGTTCGACACCGCGTCTTCGTATCGCGATAGCTTCGACGATCGATGAGAAATACGACGAGAGGCGCCGGCCAACTGCCTTCGAATGGCCAGACCCAACAGGCAGAAATGCTGCCAGCCCTACGGGTTCAAAACACCGGTAATCTGCGTCGGAGCATGGTTGAACGCAGACCTCATCGCTGGGAGTTGTGCAACGAAAATAGCATCCGAAAATGTGGGATATCCGTAGGCGATGTGGGATAAAAATCTCCCAGGGCGCCAACTCAAAAAGTTTCCAGAGATCTCGGAGCCTCGATGGCAGGGGTCACCCGTCTACCGGATTATGAAACAAGGAATACAGTGTGTCGATCTCTTTGGGCTTGGCCTGCGCTCCCCTGCCCGTTTGAGATGCCGCTAAACCAAACAAAGTTGGGCGGCCAAGGCCATCGTGGAGCTGCCCCCGTTCCCCTTTTTCCGAACCGCAATGTCTTTTTTATTGTTGGCGCCGCCCGTATGACTCGCATTCATGTTCGTCTGCGGGAGCTGAGTCGCTCACGCGATGGATAACTATGCACATCTTATGATCTGCCCACCGGCCCCATGGGCTGTGCAGCGGGTGTTCGTGCACAGAAGCTTCGTATCCCGTCTTGCTCTCCTGAACGAATTTCCCATGCACAATGCGACTTGTGCGATCTGACGTCACCGCTTGGACAGGGCCGGATGTAACGGGACAAGGCAAAGTAAGACTCCGATCGCCGGGGCGGAGGCTCTGCCGCCTCCCTGACGACACCCCTCCCGGTCCCCGGCAAGTAAGACTTCCTGCGGCGGGCTTCTACTCATATCCTGCCTGCGAGTTGCGATTATTCGCCGGGAAACGTTGGTCTGCTGGACAGTTCGAAGCAGATCCGACGGGTTTCGTTGTGGTCCGAAAGCATTCTCTGTGTTGATCGTGATTGTGCCATTCACTTGGAGCCTGTCGCGCATCTGCTCGAACACGCGCAGCACCTTCTCCTCACTTTGAAGGTATTTTCCCAACTGCATTTTGACGAATTCCTCTCTCTTTCCAGAATCAGAAAACGCTTGGAGAATCGGGAATCGAGGCGCCATTTTCTTTTGATCGTCTGGCGGTGTCGTGGGTGGGTGCCTGCGTTGGTAGTGGTTTGTTGCGGGAGGAAAGGAAAGGAGGCACAGGCGAAGAGAGACAAGGGAAAAAGAGATCAAGGCAGGACAACGCGCACAAGAAACAACTGCAACAACAATATCACCTAACTTACATTCGTCTTACACGACTAGACTCGGATTATGCGTCAATGAAGGGTCTCAATCACCGGGCAAGCTGACATATTATCACACACGATTCGACGTTTCAAACCACCAAAGGCAAGGCAACCCAAGTACACGCGAAGCGTACCAGTGGCGATAGTCTAAACTGTGACTATACGCCCTCTTCAAACCATATAATGTCGCCTGGTAAACCCCAAACCAGCTTTGCATGTCTGCTCGCGCCTGCTGTGTCATGGTCCACCGTACCTGCCATCCAGACCTCACCTGCCTGCGCTCTCCAAGCGAGTCTGCACTTGCCAATCCTGGAGCCCCGCTTTCTTCTGTTCAACTTCACTTTATCGTCGTTGCCTCTGTCGTCCTCCATCATCCTCTCTGGCACTTACCATCCAACTCTATTAGTACCCAAGTACATACGCAAATATGCCAAGCGCAATGAACGCTGTGATTGATAACCTGAAGAAGAATGTGAATGAGGCGAAGACAATGGCCGCGAATATGGACTGCCTCATTCAGCGGGTTCCTTGCCCAGCGAGGCACTTGCGTGCTATGCTAAGCGACGAATTAACGAGAGCAGTAGATTGGCTGTCAAAATGCTCCGATGCATTACAGGAAGCCCGGCCAAAGATCGAGAGACTGCCAATGGCTGATTATGTCCGGCAAACTTTAGCCTGGCCTCAAGAGCTTACCAACCTTCGCGAGACCCTGACTGCCACCAACGAGGAATCGAAAGCGCGGCAGTGCGAGACAATCGGACGACTGAAGCGAGAAATCTTGAGACTTCGAGACGAAGCTGCGAAGACCGAAGATAGGCAGAAAGCCACTGAGGTCGAGCAGATGAAACGGATACTTCGAGAAGATGCTGCGAAAGCGAAGACTGAAGCTAGGCAAGAGGCCATTGAAGTCGAGCAGATGCGCCGGCAGCTCCAAGAGCAGGCACAGCAGCACACCCGCGAGATCGATCATAGGCGTCGGCGGAAGCACGTAGCAGAATATTCGGCCGACGACTTAAGACGCTCTGTCAAAGCATACGTCCAGGTTGTTCGACAACGACGCTCTCGAGAAGAACAGCGATACTTTGCTAGCCCGGTATGAGAGCCAAGAGCTGCAAGAGTAGTTGCCGTTCCGCAGAGACCATAGAGCCACAGGAGGCAAAGTCGCAACCGACGATTGCCACGATGAGTCCTATGTAGCGGCGCTCGAGGACACGGCGATGGCCATATATAAGCTCAGAGAGCAAGTCGGCCAGCTGGTCCCCGGACCAGAGCAAGGAGTGGCCAAGTTCGCCCGTGGTGACGAGACGGCGGCGCACAAAGAGGCACGCCCGGCCAAGAAACACCGCGCGGCTAACCCAACTCTTCCGGGTTCGTCGGAGTGGAGAGAAGTCATCGGAGACGTGGTTGATCTGCTCAGCAGTTTTGACGTAGAGGCGGTGCAATCGTGCAACTATGGCGTCGATGATGCCATACAAGAAGTTCTGTCTTGTCTGATCCTTGACAGGTGCCGTGCTAGTCTCAGGGTCTTAGTCGATGGGGAAGGAGAGACAGAGTGGTACTGCATGACACGGATTAGAGACTATGGCTTCGGGCCTTTAGCTATTTGCGATGACTGCAACTTGTTCCAGTGTATACATTTGCGACGTCAGGCTGATGGGATCATATGCATTAAACAGGGCTGATTCAATACATTACTTCATCTCACTATGTATTCGTTATTTTATAGAGACTGTTTCATCACTTGCTTGCTTTACTATGATAGTTTAACTATCCGTGACGTAGTACTTAACTGCTCTGTAACATGCGTATAACATCATTTTAAAGGAGGATTATGAAATTCCAAGTATTGAATCGAACCGTGCTTGAATTTTCATCATAAGTATTCTCTATCTGGTGGGAATCTCCGTAGTGAGTGTCATCAGTGACCACCGCGACCAGGTTCTCCGTGACCTCTACCGCGGTATCCAACCTTCTGGCCTGTAGGGCCTGCCTCGTCCCCAGGGCCGCCCTTTTCAGCCTCGGAGCCTGTGTCATCATGGCGGCTTTGCGTTGGAGAGTTTCCAGTATGGTCTTGATGCGGTTTCTGGGGCGCGTGGTCGAAAAGTTCTCGCCAGTGGAAGGTCGCGCAGGTTGTCAAGTTTCGAAGCGAAATCGCTCCTTGAGGATCTTTTCGTCAACATCGCCGTATATGTCCTTCTCACAGGCGAAACGATGCTTGATGCGAATATTTGGGTCATAGCTACAGTAGAACAGCATATACTCATAGCCTTCTGCTCCAAGCATTTCGGGGCGCCTTGAGCGGCTGGCGTTGAATGTCGTGGGCAAGATATCAACACCATTGAATGCGTAAAGCTGTATGGTATCTCCTGACTTGGCGTCGTCGGTTCTCAATTGAACTGCAGCCAGCAGTTTTTATTAACGTCTTCGCCGCCCTGGAATCGAAGGACGTCCTTTTCCTCTAGATTGGATCCAGCGGACGGCTTGAGGTGGACGCGAATGATCATCGGGGCGCGTTTCAGCAAAGTGAGGCGGCCTGCGTCACCGTCGGAGCGGTACCTACGGCAAAACACCCGTTTCACGGCCATGCCCAACCCCTCCGACTTGCCGTCCCAGCTCACCAAGGTCATCTCTGCGAGGAAAGCCGCGTAGGGTGAGTCAATCTTCTCCCAGTCCGTAGCCCGTTTTCCAGGTATTCGAGTCCGCAGAGAAGGAGTTCCTTGCGGCTCCACAGAGTCTCGCGCATGATTTGCGACTCGCAAAGTGAGAAGGACGAGGTGTCGTTCTTGCCGACGGCGTTCATGATCTCCTGCTTGAGGACTGGCGCGTTGTCCTTGTATTCGTCGCTTTGGAGATCTCTCCAGGCCAGTTCCCAAATGAGGTTCGAACCCGTATCGTTGTCGGGGCCAGACGGGAGCATCACGACAGGTATCTCACAAGGACAACTAGGACGTCCAGAGCACGAGTCGTAGTGCTAGATGCTCCATTGACTATCTTCTCCCCGAGTGGGTGTGGCCGTTCAGTCGTAATCCTCTCGAACAAGATCTCACCGTACAGCTTGCGCATGTCAGATAAGGCCCTGATTTTCTCGAGTATACCATCCATTGCTGATGTTGTTCTTTGGAGACAGTGGGGTTTTTTTGGGACTGTTTTTTTTTCTTGTTGCTCTTCTTTCTTCCCATCGTCTTTTGGGCAGGTGCGTATCTAAGAGGTGAGCTGTGAAAACGTTGTGTTCTAATCAAAGTAGAACGGGCTCCTATTCACCTCGCCCCAGGACCTTCCTTCCTCTTCACTCGCAGTCGATATCCAAAAGACACAGATACTCCCGCCCGGCCCGCCACGGGAGGAAAAAAAACCAAAAAGAAAAAAGTTCGCCAACGCTTCCGTTGGCCGCTGCCTACCTATCTCAAACCCGCCGCCGCTAACTAACGAAATACAACTGTTTCGTCAAAGCTATCCATCTCGCAAAAGTCAGAAGAACGCGACAGCGACAACGGACGACGAAAACAATTACAAACGATAGCAGCGATGGATCCCAATGCGGAGCAGGACAACCAGCCTTCCGGTCGATACCATGCGACGGATTGGAGAAACACCATTACACCCATCGTCACAGCCATCGAGAAGAACGACGGCTTCTCTTACTTCAAGGTCACTGGACCGCCCTCCTCCGGAAAGATGCAACAAATTGCAAGTGTCGCAAGTCTCGCCACTGAAACACTCGGGAAAAGATCCATCTTCATCGTGCCTACTCGTCTGGAGAGCGAGTTTGTCTGGCCGAATGGAGAGGAAAAGTCGGTTGCTGGCCTTGTGATCACATGGGAAGACATCTTCACAAATGACCGCCAAGAGTTCTTCGAGGCTATGGACGAAGCAGGCACGACCATCATTGTCAAGCTTGATGGCCAGCGCACCCTGCACTCAGACTTCGGCCAGGTCGTCATTCGCGACCACATCTACCACCACTTTTTCGAGAAGACCAAGGGCTGGGCTTGCACCCTCGTGGTGATGTCCTCCTTCGGAATGCACAAAGGCCAAGCACTCGGAAGGCTGGCCTTTGAATACACCGACCTGGGCTACACCTTGGCCGCTTGCGAAGAGGCCGAGGCCAAGCTCGATCTCCCCTTTGAGAGATTTGAGGCCGGAACCGACATTGGTCAGGCAACTATCAAGCTAATGCAAAGGGCCATCAGTGAAGGTGAGACGGTCACGATACTGTCCTTCGCCACGCTGGAGAACGCCGTCGGGGCCATAATAACGGCGCACGAAGCCGGCTGGCAAGTGTTCCACCTGAACTCGCCTGCAGATCTCAGAAACCTTCAACGCCAATGTCGATTAATCCCACAGAAAACGTCCATGTTCGTGATCTCAGACCTGACCCCGGGCCTGACGACATGCAGCGTGGACCTGCCCAACCTCAGATACATCATCGCCACTGATCGTGCGTGGAGGTTCTACTTCGATGATGACCATTGCCAGACGATGAAAGATATGGTCGGACTCTCGCGCATGGAACTGTACCATCAGATCGGCTACCTCCGCAAGACAACAGACCCGCGAGCGGTCATTTATGGCGACTTTGACCTTTCCACGGCGCTCAAGACGCGACCCTGGAGACCCGAACCGGCGTCCGAGGACCAGACGCCTTTCGAGTTCCTTTACACTTTTGCCAACATTTGCTCTGACATGGCCATGGAGGATGTTGCGATCGAGATGCCCTACCAATACGACGTGCTCGACCACGTGCACCAAATGCTCACGTTGATGGATATCCTCGAGGAGGGAACTACGCCGGATGCCTACAAGGTGAAGGAGGGCTGGCCCGAAAAGATTGCCGACTGCCTTGTAGGTGGCGATGCCGAACTCAACGTCGACTTCTTCTCTGCAGCCATGCTCGCTCAGACTTTCCACGGCTTCGAGAACGGCACACTGGACGAGGACGAGACCAGAGTGCTCATCCGTCTGGCCGCCATCATGGATGTCGCAATGCCTTGGACCGCGGACGAAACGAGTGCCCCGTTGATCAAATTCAAAGGCCCGGCCGCATCGTTCAAAGACGAGAGCTTGCCCTTGATCCTTGACGTCTGCGGCGGCATCACCAAGGAGTTGTTCCCGTTCGGAGCCTTGTGGCAGATGCTAGGCATCTGGGACACTTACCGGGTGAAGATGGTAGACTTCATGTCGTTCAACCACGGAGTCAACCGTCTCCTTACAACCGTCCCTGTGAACGATGTCGTGGAGATCAACCCGGGGCTGGCCGAGGAAGTCTACGGACTTGTTCTCGCTATCGAGAAGGCATTGAACATGCAGAGTCAACCCCCCTTTGAAGGGTTGCCTACTCTCAGTGCCGACAAGGTGCACCATATCGAGGTCATCCTGGCAAGATCTTGTCTGCCCCATCTCGCGTTCTTCACACAGGAGCGTGAAAACGGGGCCTTTGACTACCGCTGCGTCGCGGCCGACTCTCATGTCACCGTGGACAGTCGCAAGCCGAAGCCAGCTTGGAATTGGATTCTCGAGCCAGAAGATTATGGCAAGAAATTCTACCTTGTCTACCACCACCTCAAGTGGGCTGACGACGGGGTGTATGGCGCCATTCATTTGCCAACGGCCATCTCCACGATCGCACTGAAGGAGGCCGTCGGCAATCGGTCGCTTGAAGACTTGGCCTCTCGGTTTCCGCAGGTTGGCATGTTGCACAGAAGACGCATGTAGGTAAATACACTTTTGTTCTTTTCCTCTTCTCGTACTATAGAATCTGTGTGAATGTAAGAGTGTAGTATAATAAAGTCACGATACGCCGGGATAGGCACCGTGAGACAGCTGTAGTGTAGGCAGAGTCAGTCTCTCCCGGTCGACTGGTTGAGATACCAGGGCAAATCGGCAATTGATTCAAACTGCCACCGGTCATTCATCTTATCACTGGAGTTGGAAAACCCTATGGCTGCTCAGCGAACAGTGTCTCCTGCAATTCAAATGTCTTTGCGGTATATAGCGCCCTGTATAGTGTATAGTATCATACATCTGACGTTGGATCAAGTCTTGAAACATTCCATGCTTGCTCTAAACGATGGTGACAAGAAAAACACCGCAAAAGGTCTACAGCTTCGAAGGCTTCGGCACCTTGGGCCTCTGCGTGGGCGTCGCAAGCGGATCGTAGATGGCTAGGCCGAGGTTATCCGACGGCGTTGATCCGTGGTTGAAGAGACTGCGCGTATCAAGAAGCGAGGGGTTGAGCTGGTCGACGCTCGTGCAGCCGATGAGACGCATGTTCATCTCCATCTCGTCGCGAAGCAGCTGCATGGCGCGGTCGACGCCCTCGAACCCGTAGCCGGCCATGGCGTACAGGAACGGCCTGCCGATGCCGACGCCCTTGGCACCGAGGCAGAGCGCCTTGATGATGTCGGTAGCGCGACGGACGCCGCCGTCAATGTAAATCTCAATGGCGTTCTCGAGACCCATGCGTCTCAGCACCGGCATCGTCTCGGCCAGCACCTCGACGCCGGACCGCGCAAAGTCGAGCTGGCGACCGCCGTGGTTGGACAGGACGACGCCCTGGACGCCGGCCTCGATCGCCTTGATGACGTCCTCGACGCGCTGGACGCCCTTCAGGATGATGGGCATGTTGGTGATAGATTTGAACCAGGGAATGTCCTTCCACGAGAGGGCGGGGTCGATGAAGGACGAGATGGCGCGGGCGGCGCCCTGGGACTGGTCGGTGGCCTGGCCCGACTGGACGTTGGCGCCGGGGTCGGTGAACTTGGAGCGCATGTCCTTCTCGCGGCGGCCGAGCTGCGGGGCGTCGACGGTGATGAAGAGGCCCTTGCAGCCGCGCTTCTCGGCGTGCTCGACAATCTTCTTTGTGATTTCGCGGTCCTTGTTAACGTACAGCTGCAGCCACTGCACCTGGTCGCCCTCGGCGGCGTCCATCATCTCATCAAAGGCGCACGATGCCAACGTCGGGATCATCTGGATGACGTTGTGCTTGCGGGCGGCGCGCGTGAGGAGGACCTCGCCCTCGGGGTGGCCCAGCTTGCCGAGGGCGGTCGCGGTGACGTAGAAGGGCATGTCGACCTTTGCGCCGAACATTGTGGTGCTGAAGTCGACTTTTTCGACGTCGACGAGGATCTGCGGGCGGAACCAGATGCGGTGGAAGGCGCTGTGGTTTTCTCGGAGGGTCTGTCGGTCAGTACTAGTCGGTGAAATGCGACGGGCTGCTCACAATCTCATCATCGGCGGCGCTCGAGTAGTAACCCCATGCCGTCTTCTTCATGATCCTGCGCGCGACGGCCTCAAAGTCCATCAGGTTGTAGCACTGAGACAGCAGCGGCTTCTGCTCGACCCTCTCGAGGCGCTCCGCCTCCTCGGGGTCCTCCTCCTTCTCTTCCGCCACCACGGATGTCATGTCGACGGGGCCCAGGTGCTTGGACTGCTCGAGGTACTTGTCCAGCGTGTCTGGCGGGTGGATGGGGTCGAACTCTTCCGTCGCGTCCTTGCCGGCATACTTGAGAATGATCTTGGAGCCGCCGGGGTGTTCTGGCATCGTTAGAAGTGTTTCTACGGTGTTGAGGGGAGGGGGGCACTCACCCGGCAAGAAGTCCGTTACATCGTAGGCTTTGCCCTGTTTGCGCGTCAATTGACTGCGTTCTGTCTGAGCAGACGCAACCTACATGAACAATGACCCAACAGGAGTCGGCACTATTGTGCTTTGCAATCTCGTCGCCGTTCAGTCCCATTTTCGCGACGTCTGCTCTCGGGCGAATGGCAATGTTGTGATTGAGAAGAAAATCCGGGGTAACGGGTAGATCGCTTCTCCACGGGGTAGATGTAAGGAAGATTAAGAAGACGCTAAGTGGCCAATTCGCTCCAGTCCAAAAGAATTTCAAATCACACACCGATGACGGATAGAAAAAAGGGAAAAAAGATGAGGTCGTTCGCGCGCGACAGAAAACGTGTCTAGCAAGCTTGGTCCGAGGACCGGTCTCCAAAAAAAAAAAGTCCCTGGTATCGTCTCGAGGAGAGTCTTGGGGGGGCGCTTGGAGAAGCCTAGGCGGGGTTGGAGCCGGGGGCGAAACCGATGAAAGGTCATCAGCTCGCTCTTCATTGTACCGTCAGACACTGCCGTACCCCACCAAGGATACGACTCTGCGTTAGCGGCCCACCTCGGGTCAATGGGGTGCGGGGTAATAAGTCGGTGACGTTCTGTTCTTCGGTGTAAAGGGACCGCGGCGAAGGTGGTGAACCCGGTCTATCCCCGAATGGCGGATGCCCCGAGGCGCGGATGCGTTCCCGAATCCCACGCGTTCTTATCGGCAAGTCGCGGGATCCCGACAACGGATAGAGGCGGCACGAGGCAGATTCAACTACCGGCATGCAAAGTCAACGTCTATTCGTAATCTGGGTATAAGCTCCTCCAAACTCCTTTGTACATCTCTCCTAGAACACCGAAGGCCTGGGCCCCGAAGATACCATCACTTCAGCTACACTGGACGGCCTCTGCGAACTCTTCCGGCTCGTAAGCCGCCCAAAGAACCCTTCAGACCTCTTTCTCTCGCTGCTCGAGATGCTCGACCGGTCCGTGGTCTCCCGTATCGTGTTCGTATCGATATGCGTCTGCGGAAAGATACCCCATGTCCCCTTGGCATTCGTCCCAGACCAACACCAGTGATCTTGCCACGCCCCTATACCGCATCAGCTTGCGTCAATATGTAAGAGCGGTTAACTTACAGCTAATGTTTGTGATTCTCTCTCCCTGATCAAACTTGAGCCAGTCGCCGCCGTCCTTTGACTTGGGCGCAAACTTCCACCGTGCCACCGCAGAGATGTTACTCGTCGTGTCCATCTTGATCTCCGCCCTGGGTGGCGGCTCCAGCTTCACCACGTCAACCGGCGCGGAGCCGTAGTTTCCCTCATGCCACGCCATGATCCACTCCCCGTTGTACTTGGCAGGGAATGCCACTCCGCCGAGCCTGGCGCCGTTTGCAAGCTCAAACGCGGGTGTCTGGTCGTACAGCAGCCGCATCCCGTACATCCGCTTCACCGTCTGCGTGGCCGTGGCGTGCGGTAGCTGCGCCAGCTCGAGCTGCTTGTCTGCCAGCGGCGACGGCTTCGGCGGAGCACGGAAGTGCAAATCATAGTTGTTCCGGAGGTTGAACGGGATCTCTGCCTCCTCTACCACAGTGACCCCGGGGACTTGCGGCAGCGGGCGTGGGTGGCGCGCAAGGTGCTCAAACAGCTTCTTCTGGCTGAAAAAGACTGTGGCATCGCACTCTTCGAGGGTATGTTGGGACTGCACGCAAAAGACGCAGCCGTAGAGGGACTCGTCGGCGCGTTTCGTGGCGATATGACTCTTCTGCAGGAAGCGGACGCGGTAGCCAATCTTGTTCAGCTGGTAGTTGGCTTCCTCTGCGTAGTTGACGTCTGCCTGCATCTGATTAAAGTCGGTCTCATAGTAGCAGCTTTCGCACTGGGCAACAACGTGCGCGCCGGAGAAGCCCTGTTCGGTTGTTAGAAAGGCCCCTTACTCCTTCGCAGTATACGTACCGGCTTCTTGACTTTCTTGATGCCAGCGCCCCCTCGAATGACCTCCTTTGCCCCGTCGCAGAACCCTTTGTACAGATAGAACGAGCTGCTGAGGCCGATACTACAATCCTTTGGCCGAGCCGACATCATGGATGCGGGCCTGCTGTGGGTTGACTCCGAATCGACCGGTATGGGCGCTTCATAGTCATTCGTAACCAGTGGGACTCGTTCGATGCCTTCGTGGATGCCTGGTGGGAAGTTTGGCGGTATGACTGCGCCTCGAGACAGTGGAATCAGCTGTCCGTCTTGGCCGGACGCCGTTGAAGAGCGATGATCCGTCATGGCAGGGCTTCTCGTCCCCTCTTCCTTCCACCCGTCAAACACTGATCCGTGCATCGACTCCAGCGAGCGTTGCCTCGAGGGATGGGAATGAACGGAGCTGGCTTGTGAGTACCGATGAGGCCGCGGCTGGATCGCGTGGTCCCCCGGAATGGGCGCGCTCAACGTGGATGTCCGCCCACGCGGTGAGAGAGGAGGGGGCCTCATGTCCTGCGGGCTCATGTGATACCGCTCCTCGTCCGTGAGCAATCTGTCTACGCCGATTTCCAAGAGGCAACTCGACCTTCTCTCGTACTCGGGGCTGTTGGGCTCGGAGACGGGAGAGCTCATGGTCGACACAGGCGGCCGCCTCTCGATGGTCTCGGTCAAAGTGGCCCCCGTCTCAATCGTTGGAGTCGTCCTCAGATCCCATGGGTTCGTCGGGGGAGGTGGAGGGGGCTCGAGTTCTTCAACCTTTGGCTCTGCCTCACTCGGGGGATGAACAATGCCCGAGTCGATCAGGACGACTGGTGTTTGACTCTCTGCGCTGGTCAGACAATGTTGCCTCGCGTTTCAATGCCGCTTACCAATTGTGACGGCCGGTGGTGTTGCGGCGACGGGTGCCGCAGGCGCCTCCAGCTTCAACCTCTTGAGGATCTCGCCAATCTTCACGCCCGACTTCTTGCACAGTTCCCACAGCTCCGTGTACTTGTCCTTGTCGAAGGTGTCTGCTTCCGTGTACTCATCAAAGTCCCAGAGCGTATCGGTCAATTGCAACCTGAACTCGGCAATGTCATCTGTCGCTTGTCAGTATGTTCAGAGCAACACCGGTGAAACACCTACTATTATCCTTGAGCGCATTCGTAAAAGCGACCTCTGACCCCTTCAGATGGCGTGCGCAGAGCGGCTCAATAATCTTGAGGCATCGCTCGGCACCTTTGACCATCCTCTGGCTCGCAGAGAGCATCTCCTGGTTGTCGCCCGCATTCTCGATCGCCGTGTTTCCCTTTTCGATAATCTCCCTGTACGGCCCCGTCACTAGGTCGGCCACAATATCCATGGTGTTGATCTGTCCTTGGCGGGGTAAGCGTGGTTAGCACGCAGGTTACGCCGGTGCGACACCCTCAGTCATTCGACGTCTTGGACAATCGACTTTTGATGTTCTGAATGATGTGACGGAGAGTGAAGAGAGATGAAGAAGAATTCGACCAGGCTGTCCTTGAGCTGAGCAGCTAGCTCAGGACCACGAACAAGGACAGCTCCAGGCCGCAGGACGGCACAGCATGGGCAGACATGGTGGGCAATATGCAGGGCGTTTTCGGGGGCCAGACAGCTCCCGAGACACACACCCAGAAAGCCTCAAGCAACGTGCAGGCAGGGTGAACATCGCCCGGGACGAGACTAGTCACTAGACAAACTCGGTATGGAGGGCGATGAATCCTAGAAGTGCGGAAGGAGACGCGGAAGCAAACGACAGGCTTGGAACCGAGGTAGGGCTGTCGATGCCCGTATCTTGGTAAATGATCCAGCGGCTCCGGGGCGTTCTGGGGAGACCCGTTTGAATCCATCGGTGTGGCACACTGCTTGACAAGGTCTCGCGATTGGTGACTCCAAGCGACGGGAATGTCGTGGGCAAGTTCAGCTCGAGGACCAACTGCGCTAAAAGCTACCTCGACATAGTACGTACCCCTAGCGCACGTCAGGCAGGCCAGCTAGCGGGGGGCGCAGCTCAATAATGTGCCTAGATGGATTGTCTCCCCTCCATCATCTGGAAGTGGACAATCAGTGCAACCCGTTTAAGCCTCTCGGTATGCCTTGCGGGCGCATATCTAGCGGATCGGTCATCTGCCAGTTGCTCAAATTGACCGTCGGTCGCCCTTTCAGTCACCGATCATGAAGTCCAAGAAATCGAATTGATTACTCCTAGAAACGAACGCCCCAAATGCCCGCAGTTTTCAAAGCCTCCGCTAAAAGTACACACCAACGCAGGTTATCATGTTCTCGTGATTGGGCAAGTGCCCATGTATCCCCTTGTGTCGTCTTGACGCCCTCACGCCTTGGTCTTGTTGCCGGAAGTGCTCTGTGACAGATGTTAGTTCGCCACAACTACAGCCTTTCAGCCATGCTCACCTGTGCGATCAAGCTCCTGCCGATCTGAATGGTCTCGCCCATACCGCGCTGTCTGCGCCAAAATCTACTCATTGTTAGTGACTTGAGCGGATATGACACTCAAAAAACTCACGCTTCCTCTGGGCCTCCGTGGCCCTGAGTGGAAATCCTGCGAGCCTCCTCCTCCAACGCTTGGAGGGTAATCTCCTCAGTCTTCTCAATACCAGGCGTGGCAGCTTGGTCGGAAACACCCTGGCCCAGGTTCTGTTCAAGGAGCCTCTTCTTCATCAGGAAGCGCTCCTTCCTCTCCTTCTGCAGTCCGGGGCTGTCCAGTTTCTTAAACGCCAGACGAACGAGGAACTGCGCGGCAAAGTAAAAGTGCTCAGCAAGGAGAATGCTGAGCAGCAAACCCCAGGCCTTGATGCTGGACGGTGTTCCACGCGGCCCGTCGCCGTTGGCACTGCACAGGAAAACGATGGACGCGCTGGTGATGCTGCCCAACCAGGAGAGGAACCCGAGAGCGTTGAGCCAAGGTCCGATCGAGTCCGCACGCCACGGGATGGGACGTCTGCTGCTGATAGCAATCTTGACGGCGTCGGACCGCATCTCGACCCAGTTGTTGACCAAGAAGCAGCAAGCCGTCAGGGGCCACGCGACCGAGAAGAGGGAGAGATATCCAAACTGAATGACCATCTCGCGGTAGTCGCTGGTAACATCATACGTCTCGAGCTCGACCTCGTTTCTCACTCTCTCCAAAAAGGCGGCCTCTTCAGCGGGGTCCTTGATCTTGGCAGCATCGTCCTCCTTGGCCATCTTGGACTGCACCTCGCGAACCTCCTGGAACACCTGGCGCTTGACGTACGGCACGATGACTTCGGTGGCGAAGTTGACGACCTGGGCGGTCACGGTGAAGTAGAACATTTGCTTGCTAATGCGCTCGGGGTTGATGACAAACTCCTGGGTCTGGAAGCTGACATCCTTGGGAGTGAGCATCTGGGCGGTGGACCGCCAGAAGTTGAGGAACGGTGTGAGCCGGTCTCCAAACGGGAGGTAGACGAATGCTGTAAAGAAGAGTGCCATGTACGAGGTCAGGAAGTTGAGAACGAACTCCTTCTGAACCAGGGCGGCGTGGTGGGCTGGGGAGCTGTCAGTTGTGTCGCATTAGGGGAGACGCAACACTTACCGTCAATGGTCTCGTAGTTCTCGATCTCCGTCAGACGGTTGGCGAACTTGGTAAGGACGGTGGAGAAGGTGGGCGTCATTACGACCAAGATGATGGTTGGGAGAAAGCCCTGGATGGTTAGCTTGAGACTTGCCGAGACCGGCATTAGACATACCAGATACGCCTGGAACGGGCCGTTGTAAACCTCATTGATGAAGATCTCCAGCGAGTTGCATGTCACGATGAGAGAGCCAAGCACCACGATGCAGGCCGCGGCGAAGGGAATCTGGAGAAGCTGCGTCTGGAGGCGCTTGATGGGCGAGTAGATCTTGACGGCTTCTCCGGTGATGGGGTCCTCGGCCTGGCGCTCGTACTCAAACTGCGGCCTCGGGTGCTGGATGTTGGATACGCCACGGACGCCCCACTCGACGGCTAGGTCGACCTCCTTCTTCTTCCAGAACTCGAAGAAAACGACGGACCACAGGCAGCTCGCCAAAGCGTACAGCCAAGAGAATTGGCCGAGGAACATCCAGGCCGCGAAGCCGGCGGCGGCGGGGAAGACGAGAAACTTGAAGTAGGACTGCATGAACGCAAAGTAGAAGGCAACGTTCTCGCCAAACTTGTCGCGGATCTCGTCGAGGTCGGTGTCGTCGGTCTGGCCCTTGGTGCTCACCTTCTTAATCCACTGCCTGTTGAAGACGTGGTTGTGCAGGGGAAAGACGCAGTCCACATGCTTCCAGCGGCCGGACTGGGGTGTGATGCCGGCGCCGCCCTCGTTCTTGGGCTTGATGATTAGGAGATATACCAGACGCAGGCGCTCGGCGTCCGAGACGGGCTCATCGCGGAGGGCCTGGGAGAGGTCGGAGTCGGGGCCGACGGTGCGGGCGCCATGCAGCCAGTCCTGCAGTCGGGAGCGATAGACCTGGTCGGCGAGGAACTTGTCGGAGGCGATCTTGACAAAAATGAGCAGGGAGTGCTTGTCGCCCCTGCGGACCTCGGTGGTCAGTCCCACGCTCGTCAAGCCCTCAATGAGCTGGACAAAGTTGGCTTCGGCTTCGGTTCTCTCTGTCGCGCTGTTAGGTGGTGGCTTCCCTCGAAACTGCAAGACCAATCGCACCTTCCTGGGGAATCTTGTAGTTGATCACATAGTCGACGCCAAAGTTGGAATCCAACCCGGCCGTGTCCTTGTTGCTGTACAGGTCCCTGATGCTCGCCATGGCTGCGTCAGAGGTTCGTCCCAAGCTCTCGAGTTGAGCACGGGTAACGGGTAGGTGGTGGTTGGACTGCAAAGATGGGACGCAATCCCTTGGAGGGCTATTCAGACGGTTGATGGCGAGACCAAGATGTTTTAAGCAGGTTCACAAAAGACAGCCAGTGGCTGAAGTAATGACGGGACGATGTCTCGCTCGGCAGGTTTTCTTGGAGGAGCAAAGCTTGGGCGCGCGGAAAGGGTCAAGAAAACGTCACGTCACCGCGCAGGGCCCGTCCTTCCAGCCCGACTAGGGGGTCAGCTTTCCAGGGAACAAGCTCCAGCCCCCGGCGCGTCTAGAGCCAGTTGATCCCAGTGGCACGCCGTCGCCAATTCCAGGTTTGGGATAGACAGCGGCACATTGGAGGGTGGCCTGTGCTGCCCCGGCCACTCCCACCAGCCAGACCCCAGTGTCGGGTACGTGCCAGCTGTCGGCCGGTCCTCAACCCCCTTCTCGCTGTGCGACGAACGGCTGCCACGCTGAAACAATAGATTGTCGGTGGTGGTGGTGCTGTCATCGGTGGGGTTTCAGCTCGGGCAGCTGCTGGAAGCTCCTCGTCCCATGTGAAGATCTCATCCTCATTCTCACCGTATGCCTCACCTCAGTCCTTTCCGCAGCACAGCACGCACCCGCATGGATCCCGTATAACCCGAATCAATCACCTCCCGACACCCAGGCAAGGCATCTGAAGCTGCAGACCAGCCCGCCGCCTCAAATGACACTTCTCACAGCCCTCGGCCTTCGCCGCAAAAACGATTGGGAGCCCCCAACCCTTCTCGACTCCCTCCTCATTTCCCCTCTCCACCTGCTCGTGACGATAATATTTAGCATTCTCCTCTTCCTCCGCGGTCGCCCCTTTAGACCGCCCCGCGACAAGCCCGCCATCCGCGTCGTCTGCCTCTCCGACACCCACGACCAAATAAACGTCCGCGTTCCCCCGGGCGACCTACTCATCCACGCGGGAGACCTCACCAATGCCGGCACGGCCGACGACATTCAGGCGCAGCTCGACTGGCTCGCCTCTTTCCCCCACCAGCACAAGATCCTTGTCTGCGGCAACCACGACAGCTTCTTCGACCTGAGCGCCCGCCGCCCCGAGGACCGTGGCAAGACGCTCGACTTCAAGGGCATCCGCTACCTGGTACACGATGCCGTGACGCTGGAGTTCAAGGGCGGCCGCCGTCTGAAAATCTACGGATCTCCTGATATCCCCGCGTGTGGCGGCCCCGAGATGGCTTTCCAATATGACCGCGCCTCGCCGCCGTGGGCGAACACTGTCCCAATTGACACTGACATTCTCGTTACGCACGCTCCTCCGGTATGTCGCCTTCTCTGTCGGTCTTGCTCCCTCTGACAAGCAGCAGAAGCACCACCTGGACCTTGGTCTTGGCTGTGCCGGTCTCCTGGAGGAAGTTTGGCGAGTACGGCCGAAGCTGCACGTCTTTGGCCACGTACATTGGGGCCATGGCCGCCAGACCGTACACTTTGACGACTGCCAGCGAGCCTACGAGACCCTCATCGCCCAGCCTCCGCGGGGACTTGTCCGTGACTTCTTCCCCCACTCCGGCTGGCTGGGCGCTCTGCGTGTGCTCGGCTACGGCATACACGGCGTGATATGGAAATGGCTCATGATTGGGCCCGGCGGCAACACCAGCAGCCTCATGGTGAACGCGGCGCAGATGTACGGCAACACGGGACGACTCGGGAATCCGGTGGAGGTGGTAGATTTATGACAAATATTGTCGTGCGTTGTATTCTAGCAGTACGTGCGCCCGTTGCGCTGGTGTGGTATCATGGTGATGTCTATGCTAATGAACGTGGTATAGTAAAAAGCTTCAAAAGAAATCCAAATGCTCCGCCAAATGCACCGGGACCAGCCCCACCCGTCCGACGATGATGCCGTATTATTAAACAAACATCAGCACGGAGCAGATCGCCCCGACTGCGACTCCCACGCATGCAGACCAGCCGAGACGCCGGCCTGGCGCCGAGTTGATCGGCACCATCGACGGCTGAGGTGTGCTTCCGCTTCCAGGCGCTCCTCCACTTCCAGGTGTGCCTCCACTCCCAGACGATCCTCCGGCTCCCCCAGCTCCTCCAGCGGGAGGTGACGTCGTCACTGGGCTGGCGGTAGGATAGTATCCAGTTGCGGCCGTCGTGACCGGTGCTGCCGCAATCTGCAGAGGGATGGTGATGGTGGCCTGGTTTTCTCCGTGAGCGCCACAGGCATTGCAAGACACCACTGTGGTGGTCATTGGCACGATGATGACATTTGGCTGCCCGTCTCCGGCGCAGTACTTGTTGCAGCCGGGGACGAGGATGGTCGTCACGTGTTCAGTAGGCGCCATTGAGCCGTCGACAACAGTGGTGTAGGTCACGGTTGTCACCACGGTCGAGGTCGACGGGACGTGAGGCTCGGGATCGCCCAGGGGTGGCGCCGGGAGAGGCGTCTGGTCGCTGACGCGGCCGTAGACGGTGAGGAGGTAGTTGGCCGGTGCGGCGCGACGATGAAGGAACATGAGACGGGACGGGGCCGGTGAGACATTCGCGTTTCCGCCGCAGAACTGCGTGCTGTTCCCAGGGCAAGGGATATTGCAGCGTGCGCGTTCGGCCTCGGCTCTAGTACTGGGGTCGAGCTCATCTGCGCAGAAGCACTCGCTTTACATTCTGTCAGCAGCAGACACATTCATCTGGGAAAGGGGCACGCACTTTTGGTGGACGCCGGCATACTTGCTCGGCGTGCACAGATCAACGCACTTTTGCAGCGTCATATCCGTCGCCGACGCCTTTGCTGTGAACGTGCTGAAGCCCGTTGCCGAGCCGAAACAGCCCAGGAAAGCGTATCCGTCAATGGTCGCCGGCTCGCGCTCAGGGACGAGCGGATCAGTCGACGGGCTTGGCGGGGCCGTAGAGACCGCTGCAGACGGGAGAGTGGTTGAGATGAGCGCTGTGCTGTTGTGGCTCATGGTGGCGGGGTTCGGTACCGTTGTGAAGACGGTGGACGTGGTCTTGACAGTCGTGGTCGTGGTCGGCTCAGGGGTGCTGGTTGTAGTGTTGCCCAGGCCCAGCTGGTAGACGTCAATGTAGTTGACCTCCCAGTACCTGCGGCAGTCAGTCTCTGGCCTTGCGAGTGGCGTTTGTACTTACGCGCTCGTAAACGCACTGGGGTTGTTCGCGACGTATTCGTTGCATGTAGGGGCGACCTGGTTGCAAGTGTCACTGGCTTGGCCCCAGATGTTGCCGGCGTAGTCACCGCAAAAGTTCTACACAGTCAGCCTCAACACTCAGCAGCCATGTTCACGCGTCTACTCACCGTCTGGATCACAATGCTCATATCTTTAAAGTACTTGTTAACCTCGCAGGTCAACGTCCCAAACAGCGCTGTCGGCAGACCCCACCCGGACGGATCGGGCTTCTTGGACAAGATGTCGGCGGGGATGCTCTGCCTCGGCCAGTGCCAGACGCTGATGGCATCGTCCGTCCACTCCAGCGCGTACACGCCTCCGCCGACGGCGTTGAAAGGGTCTCCGTACGTGTGCGTGTCCGAGGTGGGGGGAACATAGTTGCAGCCGGCGTTGTTGGTCGTCTGTCACGGTCAGCGGGAGCACTTCATCAGACCTGTGGAAGCATACCCCTGGGCTTTCGCAGTCGGTGAGAAGGTTCTGGCCGCTGACGGCTGGGTTGTTGGGCAGGGTGCAGCCCGATGTTCTGCGCCATGTCAGCCCCGTCTCGACGATGCCACGGCGAGACTTACGTGTGTCCGGAGATAACGTTCACGGTCGCCTGGTTCGCGCCCTCGACAATGTCAATCTCTCCGCTAGCAGGCCAGTCGGGCCCGTACATCCAGACTGCGGCTCATCAGCATTCAACTCGGCACGAGACTCGATAATTGCATACAAGCGGGCCACAGTCCGCACACTGACGGGGGCATATGCGCAAAGTCCCCGATGAAGAGACCGCCGTTGTAGACCTGCTTGCTCTCCAGCCTCACGCTGGGCCGGCCTTCGCTGAGTGCGTAGACATTTGTGTCGTCCACGCCGAGGGTCACGGCCTGCGTGTCGGGGTTGATTGAGTACAGGCCTTTAGCGAGGGCGTCCGGCTGGGTCTGGTATCTGTTGAAGGGAAGGCTTAGCAGGCGTCTTCGTGAAGTCTCTCGAGGGCTTCATTACCGTACGAAGCCGTTGGACGGATCGGCATAATTGATCCAGTGGAAATCAGACACGAAATTGGCGCCAAAATACGAATGCGACAGGCTGTATGCCATGCTTCCTTTCTTTTCCTTCTTCGCTGATCCTGCGTGCTACCTTTTCCAAACAAAGAGTGTGTATAAGTGACCGACACCGCCACCGAGAAACAAGAGAGGGTGTGATACGAGACAGGCAACGAAAGACTGACGATAGTACGAGCTCGTAGAGAGAGTGCAATGAGACCAATAAGTCTTCCCCTCGCAAAGGGCAGCCTCGCGGCGGCATCCTTATATCGCCAGCCCAATATCCCTTGCATTGGCGCATCACCATCGCCAACCCTCAGGAACAGAAACATCACCACCCCTCCATCGCATCAAGGAATGCCGCGCCGGCGCCGTCTCCCCAAGAGCCCTCCCAGCCTCCTCTTGCTCGCCCGAAGAGACCCCTGCCAGCGAATGAGGTCCGCCCCTCGGTCCGGGCTGGAGAAGCCAGACTGATCTGGCGATCAAACAGAGAATTCAATACAGTCTATCCCATTCAGGCGGCCGAAAGAAGTCAAGCCTGAAGCAGGAAAAAGGAACCGGTGGAATGCACCCGCACCGCCGGGAGTTGCCTCCTCGCAGGAGACGAGAGCCTCAGACATCGACGTGTGAGCGTTGGCACCGTTCGAGCGCAAGACTGTGTCTCTGAATTGGGGCTCCAGAGACTGACGAACAAGACCAATACGTGTTTCGTGAGGCTCGCATCGGGCGCCAGTGGGACGCCTAGAAAAGCCGTAAAAAGGGAGGGCGGCGTGGGGTCAGACCAAGACACCCTCAACGCGTTTCTTCATTCCAGAAGCCGGCTGGCGTCCTTTTCCCCAAACCCTTGCTTCACCCACTGCTCACTCGCAAAAGACTCGATTGTCAGATCAAGGGGGGTATATTACTCATGTGTATGTGACAAACTAACACCGCATCCCAAACGCCGGTCTTTTCCGGATGCTCTAAAATGATCCCTTTCGTAGAATGCTCTCCCACTGGTCGCTGGCCCACGTCTATTCTTACACCATGATCCTCCTCAACCCCTCCGTGCCACCCAGGACGCGTCGTCCGGTGACCGCGCATCGTCCCTGCCCGCTCTCCCACTTGCCCTCCTTGTCCGCCATGAAGTCTTCCTGCTTGGGGTGCATGCCCTCCACCCATCGATGGATGCACGAGTAGCAGTACACGATGCCCGTCTGGCACGCTGTCGGGGTCGCAATCGGCTCCTCGCACACCGGACACAGCGCAGAGTCCTCGGGCGCGGGGACCGTGTAGATGGGCAGCAGTGAAGGCGTAGCAATTGGCGCCGTCTCTGCGGCCGGGACAGCAGCCGCCTCGGACTCGTCGCCACCAGCAGTCTCCTTGCCCTTGCTCGTGTCGGCGGACCATCCCTTGCCAGCCAGCCCCGAGACGACGGGTGGCGGCAGGTCCAGCGTCTCCGTCGCCTTGCGCGACAGCTGCTTCGCAAAGTCGGAAGCGTGCCACCACTCGAGAAACTTGAGCGCAAAGATGCTCATCGGCAGCAGCATCGACAGGCTTGAGAGCAGCCGCGGGCCCATCTCGCGCGGCGAGAATAGCGACCGCCAGCCGGGGGGCGCGCCGCCCTTTGCCGGGGTGCCGCTCGTCAGGGCGTCGATGGCCTGGTAGTCTGCCCCCGTCATCCGCCGCACGCGGGTGTTGATGAGCCACATGAAGGGGTTGTGGTATTTGCTGTTGTCAAACAGGTACGCGAGGTTGAAGGACAGCAGCGCAAAGTAGTAGGCCGCGTTGACGCTGGGGTAGACGTTGCGCAGGAACCAGCGGTAGTAGTGCAGGAACCTCTGCTTCCACGTCGGGTTCGGCGGCATCTGCGTGTACGCCGCGCCCAGCAGCGCGCGGGGCGCGTTGACCTCGTACCCCTCGTCGAGCTTGCGCTTGAGGTACGGTATCCCGACCATCACGGCCAGATTCATCCACACATCCTTTGTGGTCAGCTTCAGCGTGTCCCGCACGATGTGCGGCGCGCTGGCGCTCGCGCGCGGGATCTCGGCATGCAGGGCCCTCTCGCGCTTGAGGCCGTAAAAGTGTTCCGTGAAGCTGCCGCCGCGGGTCTTGAGGTAGTGGCGCTCGACGACGAGCATGCACAGCGCGTACAGCTCGTCAAAGGAGTTGAGGGCGCGGAGGAGGTACCGCGGGTAGCGCTGCGTCGCGACCGTGAGAAGGTATCGGATCGTCGGGGGGAGGAGGGAATTGAGCTGCTGTTCGGAGATCAGCTCGAAGAGGGAGGGCTTCTGGTCGTCGAAAGAGCCCCGAAGGGCGGTCATGAACTCCATGGCGGGCGGCCTCGGTCATTGAACTGGTGATGATTCGGGTGTCGAAGGCTGTTATCTCGACATGTTCTCTGATGGACTGGTGGTTTGTCAGGAGTGGGAAGTTGGCGGTACCGATGGGATTTGCCGAGGCACTTTCCGCTAGCGTGCCGAAGCTGGGACCCAGAACCCGGGGAAGTCAGTGGTTAGCGGGGCGTTGCTGCTGACGGACGCCCAGGGGCCCGGAATGGCAATGGAGTTCCTTCATCAACAACCTCACTTAATACGCAATAGACACCGATACACGTTCATTTTATAGAATCATTTTGAAGCCTTCATTGAGCACACATCTTTGAGACTCACCAATCCGCATCAAGTTTACAATATGGCTAAAGACTCTAAACGCATCCCCTCTCATTTCAAGACAATTTTCGACGCCGACACCCCCGAGGATCGCATCAAAGCATGGATATCGCTTGAGAAGAACGACAATGGTCAGCTCAAGTCCGGGGTGCGTCTTTCTCACATACGACTCTCACAACAAACGACTAACAAGACACAGAACTGGATGCGTGAGATTATGCCCCACGTCACACTCCTCTCGACAGACGCATCAAGCCCGCACCCCTCGGCGACCTTCTCCTTCACGGTCCAGCCGGACCACTGCAATAGGGGCGGCAATCTGCACGGCGGCTGCGCGGCGACGCTCTTCGACTTTCTTACCACCCTCCCGCTGGCCCTCATCAACGACAAGCCGGGCTTCTGGCAGTTCCTCGGCGTCTCGCGCACCCTTAGCTGCAGCTACCTCCGCCCGGCCCCCTGTGGGGAAGAGTGCATCGTCGAGTGCGAGATTGTCCAGGTCGGCCGCACCTTGTGCCAGCTCAAGGGCGTCCTGCGGAGGAAGAGCGACAACGTCATCCTGGTTACGTGTGAACACCATAAGTACAACACGGACCCGCCTGTGAGCAGCAAATTGTAGACCAGAGGGGCCCTCATTAGAATATAGAACACCATAATTGTACACTGCATTATCATTCGCCAATGACGTGATGCCCGTTCAGCAACATGTCGATGATCTCGGCGTCCGCAGAGGCCAGCGCCGCCAGGTCCTGCGCCAGGGCCTCCCTGTCGTTCTCGACATCCATCTCCTCGTCTTCCTCGTCCTCACCCCACTCGCCCACGACAAAGTCCTCGTCGTCTTCGTCGCTGCCCAGGTCCGCCTCAAAGTCCATGATTGGCAAAAAGTCGTGAAAGCTGATCTGCTGATCGTCCCCCTTGGGGTTCGGCGCCCGGTCAGACACTTTGAAGTACGCGCTGGGCCCGCAGGGGCCGTGAGGATCGTAGTCTCTGTTCCTAGTCAGCACTTTACCCGCATCGGTGGTCGATGTTACGTACGTGTCGAACCAATGCCCTACAACGCCCCTCGCGGAGCCGACGCCGCCGATCTGAATACCCTCACTTCGCCATCGGGCGTGGCCGCTAAAGATGGAGAACGTGGTCCAGCGGACCTCGCCCTCTTTCGTCAGGCGGACGGTGCCTTTTACTGCTGATTAGAGGAGAATTAACAATGACAACGAGCACGATACGCCAAGCACATGCACCTACCTCGGAGGTCAGAGTTGGCGTTCTCGTCCCACGAGTCGTCAATCGACCGTGAGATGCCCTCAAAGTGCACGACGGGTAGGTCTTTGCCGTCCTGCTCGCCCGGCGGCTGTACGTCCGTGACGTGAATCTTCATGACGATGAGGCGGGTGGCTTCGCCCACGTCCAGGGCTGGCCGGGGAACCTCCCGCGGCATTTGGTCGTCGAGGGGAAAGTTGTAGCCGAAAAAGTCGTTGTAGTCGATGAAACACACCACCTGGGATTGTTAGTTACGGCCAACTTGTGAGAACCACCACCTACCCTTAGCCATGTCCCGGCAACACCGTACGGGTCCTTCAAATCCAAGTCCTGGATCCCCCGATTCGGAGCAGGCACGTAGCTCCCAGCCCACGACCCAACAAACGGACGTTCCCACAGATTACTAAACACCTTGGCCGTCAGGTTCTGCGAGCGTATGTTGCTCCCAAGCACAATCAGAATCGCCTCAACCTTCTCCCAGTCCACACGGTCCGTGTCGTCGTCCATGAACGGTCCCCATTTCGTCCGCGGGGTGTACTGCCGCAAGTCGTACACCTTGGAACACGCGTACGGATACACCCGCGACGATCGCGTGCGCCCACAGTTGAGGATCGGGCGGCCATACAGGCAGTGCAGCTTCGCGCTCTGCTGGTGCGCCTCCTTGGGCTTCTCCGGGATGCGGATAGGCCGTACTTCGCTGCGCGCGCGCTCAAAGATGAAGGAGCGGCAGAGAAATGCCAGACGCGCCGGCTCCTCACGGAAGGCGCGCGCCAGAAATGCTGCGTTTCGTGACGCTGCGTGAGTCCCAGCTTCGTTTTGTGCTTCGCCCGTGGATGAGGCGTTCTTGAGGAGTCTGTTGACGGTATCGTAGACGAACGGTAATTCGTCAGTCTAGTATGATAAGTGTCATTACCATGCGACGAACTGGAAAGTTGACGCACCTTCTCATCTACATTACTACCGGTGCAGAGCAAACTGAGCCTCACGTAGTCGTGGATCTCCTTCTCCCAGTCCAATTCCGCGTCTGCCGGGGTGTCCTGTCGCCGCAGTTAGACCGCATTCATCGCATCGCCACGCAACCGTCTCACCAGCACACTCAGATAAACGTCCTTGCAGAGTTTCTGGTTCCCCTTCACAAAAGTGTGTAAAAAGCGGCATGTGCGGGGCAGGCGGCCGAGGTCGCGCGGCTCGAGGCCCGCAAAGATGTGGTGGAGGATCTCCGCCGGCAGCAGGTTGAGATGCAGCATCTTGGATGCCCCGTCGGCGTGACCCATTTGTTCTGCAAGTCAAGGTGCGCGCAGCTCGCTCACGAATGAGAACGTTTCGAAACAAGAGGTGAGTGCGAGATGTGGTGAGGTGGGAGATGAACGACGCAACAGAAGCTTAAACTTACGTCGTCGGCCTGGATTGGTCCACCACACCCAACCCATCATGCGGGGACGTGGGCGGGCGACTCTCCGGAGGTAGGAGGTAAGCTCCGACGTATCAGCGCGGTGGAGACTACGACCGAATCAGGCAAGTTCATGCCATCACGGTTCACCGGCTGAGGTTTGCTTCGTACCGGTCGCTTCTCCAACCAACCAAGTAAAGAAAAGCCTGTCCCACGCTGCCTGAAAGTGAGGCGCCGTTCCAGCTACCCCAACTGTTACTTGCTTCACCAGCGCTTGCGTTGTTGGACCGTTGCATTAATCATCATGACGTAAGTCGACGCACATGCTCTTTCGTCTAATTCTTGCACTTACACCATCGGTGCCGATGGACCCACCGGGACCCGGCAGACGGCCCGGGGCGGGCCCGCAGTCTACCGAGGCAGCATAGACAGGCAAACCGACCAAATGAAGGCAACCCTCACGCCACCGATTCACCACCCTCATTGGCAAAGCTTTAAATACACCCGGCCCACCCGGGCCTCAGCGGACTTACCCGGCGCCGTCGGAGGCCGCAAAGCGTATTTCAACTCAATAAACAAGCTTAGACGCCGAGCTTCATCACTGGACGAAAGGCCGAAAGCCCCGGACCACGTGGGCCGCGTATCGCCAGGAGACGGCATCATCTACATGCCGCAGAGATGTGCCACCCCTCGAGCAAGTCGCCCGTCCATATGCACACACCCATCCAACTCGTGCCCCGTCGTCGCCCCCTATTCAAAAAAGCCTAAATGAAGGCACCAACACGGCGCAGCGAATGCCGTGAAGAATGCAGCCCAACCGCCAAGATCGCCCATCACCTTGGGACCGGATAGGTGGGATTTCATCTTCTCGGTTCACACGCACCCCACGTCCCGTTGCCTCTGTTCTCTCCATGGGCCGCGGCCCGACTGAGACGACCGACCATGTCAGCAATGAAATGAGAACCACAGGGTGCACCAATGTGAAAAGTGACAAGTTCGCCAATATACTCGCCGAGACTAGGTATTCTCTGCCTCGGCCTTCATGCTATTCGTATGTCACAAACATTGCGACACGCCTTGAAGAAAAGGGCGCCTCGTCGGGTATAGATACAGTACAGAAAAAATGTGAAGTGCGGCCGCAAGGTCTGTCATGCCAAATTATCGTCCCGACTCCTCAAATGATAACTGGCACAAAAGTGGTATATTGTAAACCCGAATTCCTCCCGTCATAATGCCGCCGTCACGGTTCGTTCCGATGCCAATCGATGAAAAACATGCCTGCCGCCTTCTGTCTTGATTCGCTATGCCGTTGCCCCAGAATTCAGCTGGAGGCAGTTGTTGAGAAGATTGGCTCCCTCGTGGAGCAGCTCCCAGCGTGTGGTTCCGAAAGAGTCTTTGAGCACGAGCAGTAGCGCCGTGTTCGTGTTGATGCCCTTCATGCTCTTGAGCTCCTCTGGCGAAGACACACCGCCGTACTTGGCTAGGTAGTCCCGCATCTGCCGCACCTGTTCCTGCTTCGTGGTTGGCAGAGGCACCCCGGGACAGGGCCCCTCGAGGGCGAACCCGTAGCACCAGACGACGAGTGCTGCAAAGTAGAGAACCCACGGCCTGTTGAGCAGCACGTCGTCTCGGGCCGTATACGGCTCGTCGTACTTGAAGCCGTTTGATTGTGGCGATCCTCCCCCGTCAGGCATCAGGACAGAGCAGAGGAACTTGAGCGCGTAGTAGGTTGCGTCTCGGGCCTTTGCGGACGGCGCCCAGAGGTCCCTCATCCTTCTCTGAGCGCTGTTGAGGTCCTGCTGCCCGATGGCTCGCCCCAAAAGCCGCTTCGCCCTGGCGAAAATCTGGCAGTCCACAATATCGACATGCATCGCCATGTGGGCGAGGTGGTGCAGCACTGTGCGACTTTCAAACACTACGTTGGCCTCGTTCTTCTTGGCGGAGTCGAACCGGTAAGGATCCGACGAGCCTTCGTTCCGAGAGAGTGACTTGTCAAAGTCCTCCTTCCACGCATCAAAGGCGCGTGTAAGTGTCCCCCGCCACTTATCCCGGCCCCCTAGCGCCTGCGAGACTCCACCGCCGAGGACGTTAACCTGGAGGTCCCTCTGGTTCATGTGCCAGCTAACGCTGAGGAGTCCGGCCATCAGGACCATGCGGCCGAATGGGTTGGTTTGGACCCCCTGGCCGCTGAGTGTCCGCTTGAGACCCTCCAGGAAGGATATCGGCTTAATGCCGTTTGACATGATGTTGGACTCGATCCGGCCGACCTCTGCGCCGCTGTTGGCTTTCCACATGGCATCGTCGCAGGGCAGCGGGAGCCGCATTTCGTGGGTGACCATCACCGTGGAGTGGCCAAACATGGTTGCGTGTATTGAGTCAATGACGAAGGCGGCGAACGCGGCCCGGCGCGTCGACTCGTTGGTGATCCAGTGATTCCACCATTCGTCGGCGGTGTGGGCAACCCCTGATGCCGAGGAGTGTCGTGAGCTATTCTTATCGTCTCGCGGATTCGGAGGCGAATCTAGTGCCGACTTGCCAATGAGTGACCTGCCGCGGCGCATCAGGGTGATTGTCGTCGCGTGGTGAATGTGGGCCCGCTCGTGCAACTCTCTCGTCGAGTACATTTTCTCGTACAGCTCCAGCAGCAAGAGGGTCTGGAACAGCCAAAGCTTCGCCGGCGGGCGGAAGTTGGGGTCCATGAAGATTTCCCACCGCAAGTGCCATGCCAGAAAGTTGGACAGCTGCGCGCCGGCCTTGGTGACCTTTTGCCCGTGCGTCTTATCGAGACAGGCGGCACCGATTGTCATCATGGCGAGAAGCAGCAGATTCGGCGTCCGATCGGGAGAGAAGGTGGGCTTGTGAAGGATGGGAATCTGGTCACTGAAGTGAACCCAGTATGATCCGATGTAGGCCTGCATCATCCGCTTGCTGAGCATGTGGTCGCCGTCGGTCCGGTCCCCTTCCAGAATGCTGTCGCGCTGCCGCAGTGTCGGCGCCTGGTCGTTTTCGTGGAACCTCTGGCTGATGAAGTCGTAAATCTCCTGGCTCTTCTCTTCCGAAATGGTCGCCTCTGGTAGGTTCTGGTCCAGTAGGTTGTTGACGGCCATGACCTGGTGCGAGCCGGACGGGAAGTATCCCATCGGCACGCCGTCGGTCCCGACATAAGGTACGCTATAGGAGTTTCCATATTCTCCGTAGCTGAGAAAGGTCAGCGCAACTCACGCACGAACATCCAATGTACTCACTTGCTCGCATACTGAGGGGGCACTATCTGCCCCATTGGTGACCCCTCGCCCTGCTGGGTGGTGTTGAACAGGTAGGCGACAAAGTCTTCCGGGATCGTCACGTACGGCGACTTGCTGAGGATGCTGTCGGTCCCAAAGACCGGGATGGTCCCGGGCATCGACATCTGGTCGAGCAGCATCATCTCGCCCGACTGCTGGGGATGCCCCTGTTCGCTGTACTCGGCCGAGGTGGTCGGTGCGTACGTCTGGCCTGCTTCCCGGGGTACGTTACCCGTCCCGTTGGAGAAGTCGGACGGGGGAAGGTTGAACGGCGGAAAGTTTTGCTGGGTAGTGTAGGTTGCGGACTGCGGGGTGTTGTGCTGCTGGCCGTGGTATCCATGCTGGTTGGAAACCGGAGACATGTATGGCCCGTTCGTCTGTACCGTCGGCCGTGATCCGTTGCTTGGAGACTGATGCGGAGGCCGAAGCGCCTGGACGTTTCCGTAACCACCGTCGTGGTGCATGTAGCCGTCCATGTTCGGGGGTGCCCCCATGGGATATCCGGTGGGAGGCGTATGAGTCGCCTGCGCAAAAGGGCTTCCCGTGGCTTCCTTGGGCGACTGGAACTGCTGCATCTGGTTCTGTCGCACATTGGCGAAGCCGGTGCCCGGCCGACTGATTTCGGGCGACGCCGACCCGGGCAGGGGATACGGTGGCCGGTCAGTCGTGGGAGAAATGTGGCTCATCATCGAGTCTTTGCGGTTCAGAGCCGATCCCTTGGCCGTGTGGCGGTCCCTGTGGCGGTTACACAAATCCAGCCGGACAAAGGTGCGATTGCAGTCGGGAAAGTCGCAAGCGTAGATCTGTTTCGGTGTGTGGTTCAACTGGTGTCGGTATCTGGAAACGTGTTAGTCGAAGCCGTCAGCTTTGGTGCGTCTACTGACAGATGCTCGGCTCTCGAGTAGCTCTTCCCACAGCCTTCTTGGGGACATTCAAACTTCTTGTCCAAGCCCTTGCGGCTCCTCCGTCTCTTCCGCGCAGGGCCGCCGTCTGAATTGGACGAACCGGCCTTGCCGTCGTCGCCGTCGGCCCCATCGTCGTCCACCAGATCGGCGTCCTTTTCTTCGGAGCCCTCCCGCGGCCTCCCTCTTCCAGAGTCGTGCTCTTGCTTGATGAACTGCTGCGGGCTCGCCCGCGAGTCGTGGTCCGGTGCCATTGTCGCAGAGCTTCGGGGAGAGAGGGGCATCGAACTGGTAAAGTCAGACGTATGCGCCGGTAGTACGGAAGTCATATTTCTTGGATGGCCAAGGGACTATGTGGCGCGGGCGTCTACTGTAATCAGGCGCGCAGCAAAGCCTCGAGCGCGCGGGGTGCGGTGGCGTCTCGAGGGAAACCGTATACGTCGTGAGATTCGAATATGTGCAGTGGGTGGCGCGGCGAGACTGGGGCGGATCAGTCCACCAGGCTTCCGTCCTTTTTCGCAATGTACAACGAAGTGCGCAAAATCGCACTCGTGGTTATTGGTTTCGGCCTCTCCAAAGCCAATTGGAGAGGGGTTTTCAAAACATGACTGTCGGGGAGGTGTCTCGCCAGCAGAGTCGACGGCGGCCAAGCTGGAGATGCGAGTGCGCGACGAGAAGCGTGGCCGGCTGAGAAGGCAGAGTGAGATTTCCCTGTATGAAGGCACTCTTGAGGCGAGGTAAGCCAAGGTGAGTTGGTGGTACTGGTGCTGCTGGGGGTGGGTTAGCAAGTGGATGTCGGTGGAGCTCGTGGTATTAATGATGGGCCTGCCGCCTGTTGCGGTAAAATGGACGAGCGCGGGCTGCATGAGAGGAGGGGGTGGCCCGGGTGGGTGTCAAAAAAAATAAGAGACGGCAAGGTTGGAGGTTGCGGATGGAGTGGACCGTCATCAAGGGCCGTGGACCAAGCGTTGCCGTTCGGGGGTGTAACGACGAGAGACGAAGAAGACCAAGGCCTGCCATCCGCCATCCGCTACCCGCCGTGGGAGGAGGGACAACCTTGGGGCAAGGCCTCTTGTGATGCAAGGCCTTGAGCCCTAAGTGAGCCCTCCGCCCCGTGAAGCAAAGCACGATATAGCTCGGTGTACTATTGCCAGGACACGGGCGACGAAAAGGACTAGTCCGATGCCAGGAAGGGAGCAGTTGGAGGTGACTGGAGGACGTGGAGGGCGAAGAAAAAGGTTCCGTCTGTTTTCCTGGGGGAGGCGCACGCCGCCGTTCAAGTCGCACGCGCTGTGGTCTGGGGGAGTCCAGCCTCGAGGAAGCAAGACATGGAGTAGACCAGATGAGAGCGGGATGTACCGCGGTACGCCGATCGCTTGGTCTTCGCTGAGTGCGGGCGGGTATCTGTAGCTTCAAGGTACACGACCCGTCGCAGCATGATCCCCTGGAGCGAAACGAACCGAAGCGAGCCGTTGATGTCCGCCTATGGCATCCCCAGCGAACCTTGGCCGTAGCTGCAGATACCTCAAGGGGACAAGGCACCTCTCTCTGCCTTAGGTCGAGCTGGAGAGGGCTCGTCGGGATGCGCCGTCATCGTCTCGGTGTCCGGCGCTCCTTACAACTGCAGTAGCAGCGGCGGGAGTCTGCCAGGCTGTCGTCTTGGGTGGGATATCAGGTCCATTCCACGACTCCAACCTGACCGATGTCCGGTATGGGATGTGCGTAGCGGCCCGCGTCTGACATGGCCCGCGACGGCACTCATCCAAGCCATTGCTGTACCGTGGAATGTCGAACGGGACTGGGGGTTGGGGGGGGAAAGGGGAGGATCGAGACAACAGGCGCGGGTGAGGAAAGGGAAAGCTGCGACATACGGGAGACGGGAATGGCCTACCTAAAGACAGACTGACCTTGCCAAGTCGAGAGATGCAAGGGCAGAGAAAGCGAGTCTGGTGGATTTCGCAGGTGGTAGGGTCGCAGTAGGAACTGGCAAACACAGAGGCAAACTCGTCGGAGCTTCTCGAAGGTTGACTGACGTGCGGGCGCGGGTTCGAGATTGGCCTCGAGGCTGCGGTTGGTGATCGCGTGGTGTCGTGCGTGGGTGGTGCCCGTTCGCGTCGTGATGCGGTTGCTGTCGTCGAGTCGAGTCTCACTGATCAACCTCAATGGCACAAGTCGGGGTCCAGGTCCTGGGGAAGTGGGCAGCAGCAGAGCAATTCGGCCATCTAGGGACGGTAGGCAGGACAGAGACGCAGGGTGGGAATGTGGGGGGTCTTATGGCACTCCCACTCTCGTCTCCCTCCTCGACCTCGACCTCGACTCTGGCATCCAGGCGTCTCCTCCCACCACCTCCTCCCAGATGAGCCGGCCGGTGTGAATGAGGAGCCCCCCCCCCCTCCCCCGGGTCTGGGTCGGGACCAGTCAGGTCCATGTCCAGGTCTGGGTGTGAGGCCCGCGGCGTGATGTACCTACGGCGCTGCGATGCGATGCGATGCGATGCCCTGCCTGCCCTGTCTCGACCTGTCCCAGAGCAGTAATTGCAGCAAGTAAGCTGCCAGCTTCCAGCTCCCATAGGAGCATCGAGAGACGGCAACCTGCCAAAAAGTGTGGTGGACCACACGCCATGGGGGTCCTTTAGTAGCCCCGAATAATATGGGAAAGGCGGTTGGAACGCTGCTAGGGCCGCGAAGTGGCCCCCCGTTGCGACAGCCTTTGGGGGTGCACTCGGAGAGGGGGAGGCGACTCGACTTGGGCTGGCACTAATTGTCAAGGTACCTGGACAGACGGCGCCCCGAGAACGAGATGCCCATCTCTGGCCACCCAGCCCGCACTGTGAGACGACGTGTGTATTGTCAGTCGACGGCATCATCTCCAGCGAGCCGGTCACGGTGTCGTGTCGTCGATCCACGTCCACCGTTGGGTTGCTTTCTCTCGGTGCTCTCATCTGATCGATCTGGCGGTTCTTAACGTCCCAGCATGTTGCTTCCCTTGTCCCTGCTCGCGCCGTCATCGACCTGCTTATATCCGATGCTCAAATGCAAGCCACCACCCAAAGGTTGGCACTGGCAGACCACAAGGGCGTTCAGCCAGTCTTCGGTACCGTTGCAACGAGAATTGACAAGTGACAGGAACTGCATTCTTGTGCCTGCGCCTCGTCATTTACTTCGTTCTGCGGTGCGTGATATTTGCCCGGGACAGCCGTATTGTCTGCCATCGTGCCAACCCCAAAGCAGGACTGGCCTCGGTGTCTCATCGGGCGCGGGCGGTCGAGGGACTGTCACGTCTAGATCCGTTTGATCCCGGCTTGATTCGAAGGACTGTTTGTCGTGCGTTTGCGATTTCGAGGTGGACAAATGGGGGCGTTGGCGACCGAGCGTCTTCTGTCACGTTGCCCGCCTCGTCTTCTGTCCCACGCACTAGCCATCAGCCCTCAGCCCTCCAGACTCATTACTTCCAACGCTGGCTCCACTTGGAACAACAGCATGCGATGGAGGCTTCTCTCATGATGTGTGTTCAACGGCTCTCACTCGTCGTACGATGGCACGATGGAAACCAGAGAATAACGATAGACAGTGTGCGTTCAGCCTGATCAACTGTAGCGGCAGAGGACCCTCCAGACCCCGAGTCCCTCTCTTGTAGGGCGACATGGCCCCCCAGTGACCGGCGCGGTTAGTCTCGCAGGGATGCCCGGTGTAGGATGTTCACTTGAAGAAGACGAGACGTGTGGGGATGGGCACGGTCTGGAGCTTGGACATGGCCCATCCGGGGCGCCATTCCCCCGACCTGCGGACGAGTTGCGTGGATCGGCCGCCGGTGTCACCTTGAGCTTTCCTGGGAGCGCATCTGTAAGGCATCGAATTTCTGCTAGCCTGGGCGAGAGCTTGCCCACAGACACTGCAGCTTATTTCAACACAGGATCGTCCTCACTAGTGTGCTCGGCCACACGCACTTCTCGGGACCTTCTGCCGCTGGAAGCTGTCTTGGTGTCAATATTGGCGAGGGTTAGCGGCGCTCGAGAATGACGAAATGAAATCAGACAGACTGCATAGTGCAACAGACGAAGATGGACACCGGCACCGTGCAGAGTCAGGTGGGCGAGGCCTGCGATGGGAGTTGATGCTGCCATCGGACCACAGCGCCTCTGCGTTCACTTGACCATCTCCTCCTGTAGCCTCCCGGCACAGCTCATCTGGTGCCATGTCGTACCCAACGGCGCCGTTGGCCTTCCCGGCTGTCGCGTCTAAGTTGTGAGGCCAGCCGTCATCCTCGTCCATAGACAAACATGCCGTGGCACTAGAAGCAGACAGCTTCGTTCGCAGGCAGCTGTCATGTTGTCGCCGGTCGGTCGCTAACACCCCACGCCTGAGGCTGAGGTGCGCAGCGCACATCAGGTACAAATACCGCACTCCCGGGTCTACCGCCTGGCGTGGGAGCACTGTGCCGGTGCGTCAGTGAAGCTGATTCGCATTTCTGCTCATGACCTTGGACGCTATCATCTTCTTGGTCCATCTCATCTCGTAATGTGTTCCTGATGGGGCATGGGCGTGGTTTCAAATAGGTATGGCAGCACACGACTCTCGCTAGTCGCAAAAGAGTCCATTTGGCATTCGAGATTGGAGAAACCGTGCATTTTGAGCACCTCCCGTTGTTGGAGTCGTCCCCTTGCTGATCACACCCTGTGGAGAATTGGTCCCCCACCCACTCGACCAAACCAACCGAGAGTGGGCGTCGTGGGCTCGAGTCGACTTCCGCGGGCCTTCTGTTTAGACGTTCACACAAGTAGTTGTAATGTGGCCGGTCAGCTTGAGCTGTGCTTGGCAGGCGACTATCTTTCCGTACACCTAGCCGGAAGTAGCGAAATGACTGCTTAGCTTCGCGGCAGTACCTGGATGACCCAAGAGTGATGTCCTCCCTTATAGCAACGCCCAGTGCCTCTGAGACAATCCTGTCGTTCGGCGTACCAGAGTGAAGCGGTGTCAAAAGTCCAGACGCGTTCTCCAGCTCCGAGAATGAAGACCGAGAATCCTAGTCGAAAGGGGACAGGGGTGATCTGCTGGTCCTTGATCGATCGCCAGTCAGCATGCGACAATCCCCACTGAGAGCGAGCCGTGATCAGGGACATGGGGAGTTGGACAACAGCTCCCGAAGCCAGCCTCCAGGGTGGCCATCGAATCGCCAGTCTCCCTTGCGTGTTGGCTGAGGGCGACGAAAGAAGACGGGCTGCTTTTCTTGGGTATCCGACGAGCAGCAGCGCTCG